TAACGATATTAGATATTTTAAATTTTATCTTGTATAGATAGGAATATATGATGGTCAACTTTACATTGTTATTGAGCTGTAATATCAACTGAGTTTCATTATTTTTTTTAAAAAATATTTGTCTCTTTATAGAATTTATTTATTTTTTGAAAGATTTAAAAAATCAAATCTTAAAATTTCAAAATAGCTTCAGACTTTATTTTGAAGAAAAAATCTACCAAACGTTGTTTTTTTTTATATATATTTAATTAAATAATAATTTGAGAAATGTAGTAATTTTAAAAAATAAATATACAATATAATTTTATCATAACAAATGCATATGAATATAACATAAAATAACTCAAGTGAACCAACAAGCATAAAGGGGCAATTCCGTTAGCTAAGTTAAGAAATAAAGGTACTTGTGTATTATTAGGTACAAGTAAGGGTGTACATCTATTGATTCGATCTAATTTCATATATTATTGATTTAATTTATTTATTTTTAATTTGTGAATATGCTCATTCGACAATCAAATTAATAAAATATTTATTATTAATTTTTTATTCTTAATAATTTTTTTTTTGATTTGATTGCTAAGGAGATGCACATATAATCACAATAAATAAGTAAAGAGGCTAATTTGTGTAGCCTACAACCAAAGTAATACTAAAATTTATATTCTATTTATAAGTCCTAAATACGGAAAGAAAGTATCAATAAATAAAAATCAATGCAAAATGATTGCGTCTGCCGGGAGTCGAACCCGGGTCTATTGCTTGGAAGGCAATTATCCTAACCGTTGGACTACAAACGCTTGCCTGCTATACATTCTCAGGACATAAATTTTGTCCTGTCCGATCCCACCCAGACAACTCCTCCAACATATTCTTTTTTCATTCCAATTTATGAGTCAAAATTTGATTAGGCAATAAGTATGTAAAATGAAAAAAAAAAAAAAAAACCGTTTTTGAAGTGTATAATCTTAAATAAGATTGATATTTGTATAAACATAGGTCATCTCATAATTAAAAATACAATGAAAATATTAAAATTAAATTATTTATAACTATAAATATAAAAATGTATTATAGTTTTTAATCAAGCTAAAACGAAAAATAAATAAATTAAATGTCACATTAAATAGAGAACAGAATGAGTAGTTGATATGAATGGATTCATGCCTCCATTCATCAAGTTAATAATGATATTGTAGATACTAGATAGTAATAAAGAAGGGAATTTTTTTCAAAACGTCAATATTTTAACATTTAATAGGACTCATTGTTAATACTTTCAATATTTAGTAAAAATGTCAGAATTTTAGTTTAATATGTATCTTATTTAAGTTTTTATTATTTGTTTTATTTAAAGAATACAATTATTAAATAATAGAAAGGAGAAATTTAGGGGAGAGAAATTTTTAAAAAAGGAACAATTGCTTAAAAGTCTCATCAGTTACAAAAATTCAAAACTAAATACAAATTTAAAAAAAAAAAAACACAAAGAACTCATCCCACTTGTTCATCAAATTTTTAATATCGATTTTTAAATTTTCATAGATAATACTCAATTTCTGTTGAAATGAATTTGATTAAATCGCGTTTTTTTTATATCCACCCATGGCTTCACCGGATCAGATTTTAGAACCAAAATCGACTTTCGTGAAGAAGAAGAAAAAAAGAGAGAATCAGAGAAGAAGGTTGCAAAGAATGAGAGAATGGAGAAGAAGGTTGCAAAAATTGTATTCATATTAATTTTTGTTTGTCCATTGTTTTTCTTTTACTCAACATTTATATTTTTATTAAGAACATTATAATTTTTTTTAGTTTGTAGTCATTCCAGTTGGTAAGCCAAATTGATTTGTATTTCTTAAACATAGATGTATCATATTTCTTTCACAGTCAATTTGTATTTTTTTTAGAATATTGTATCATTAATTCCTCAACAGATTGTATTATTTTTATTATGTATGCTATTCTTTTATCAAAATCTTGTATCTTTCTTTAAACGTATTCATATGTAATGATTAGATTATATTGTGATACAATGAATAATATTTTTGTACTACGAATAAAAGAAAAATATATTTGGCAATTATGTAATACAATTTTGATCACTGGAATACAATTTTTAGTTTTCAATATGAAAGTAAAATACCAATTTTAATTTGAATGGTAAAGTGAGCACATAAAATACAAAAGTTGTTGATATACAATTATGATGAAAACATAATAAAAAGAAATACAAACTTGTTGTCATTGAAATTGAGATTGAAATACAAAATGAGCACAATAAATACTCACATCAATTGAAATACAAAATTGACTTCGTTGGTATGTCATTATGATGAACACAAAAAAATACAAACTTTTCTGAATACAATGTGAGAGTTAAATACAAAATGATCACAATAAAATACGCACCACAATATGATATTCAATTTTAATTTGAATGGTAAAGTGAGCACATAAAATATAAAAGTTGTTGGTATACAATTATGATGAAAACATAATAAAAAAGAAATATGTTGTCATTGAAAATTGAGATTGAAATACAAAATGAGCACAATAAATACTCATTTCAATTGAAATACAAATGTGACTTTGTTGGTATACCATTATGGTGAATACAAAAAAAAAAAAAAGTAGAACTTGTTTGTAGATAAAGTGATTTTGAAATACAAAATAAGCAAATTAAAATACAAAATTGTCGTCATTTGTGTTCTAAGTAGAAAATTGTTGATTAAGTTGGATACCTCTAGTAATTCTCTTAGATTCTGCCATTGGAGCGTGATTTAGAGTTTATCAAATCCTAAACGTGATTTCAACTACAGACAGCAATTTTAAACAAAAATAAAATCATAAAATAAATCTTAAAAAACGAATAAAGATGCATACCTCAATAAAAGGGATTGTGTGAATATCTTTATAAATATATTTTTCAATTTCTGGAAAAAAAAAGGAAGAGAAGCGGATTTTGAAATGGAGAAGAATTGGAAGATGTAAATATGTTGCAAAAAAAAAAAGAAGATAAAAATATGAGAGAGAGAAAATATTCCCTTTATTTTAAACATATGAAAGAGGATTAATTGGGAAATGTGTAATTAAGGTAAGATAAAATAGGAAGTAAATTAGGATACACAAGCTTTTCTAAAATAATGATATTTTGACATTTTTACTAATATTTATGAAGTATGGAGGTTTTTACTAATTAAGTTAGACTTTTTTGACTAGTTTGCTAATTTTTCCGTAAAGAAGGTACTAAAAAAGAACTGGCAGTAAGAGAACCCAGCAAAAAGCCCATGTTGAACTATGAATACTCCTTAGTGGAGCTTTTGCTTGCTTCAGCTGTGCCTTAACTCGATCTATGTAATATTAATCCAACTAATGCCAGAGACCTGGCCTCATGTCCAATGACAGTTCTTAATCACTAGACATATCTCATGGATTTTGGATTCCAGATGGCCAGAGGGTTGAGTTGATAGCATAGGATTCTAAATATTCAAGTTACAGACTTACAGGAACAACCAAAGCTGAGAGCATCTTTAGGCATCAAGTGCAGTAAGAATCAGAGGAACTGCAGAGGCATATTAAAGTACTCAAGAACATTTAAGCAAGAAATGAAGATCATCTGGTGTAAAATAAGGAGTATTTGAATTCTGCATTACAGATAAGCAATGACATTTGGGATCAAATAACTCAAAAGGGGAAAACACATTTGCCTAGCACTCAAATAAGACAATGCCAACGATGGGCATTTGGTCTAGTGGTATGATTCTCGCTTTGGGTGCGAGAGGTCCCGAGTTCGATTCTCGGAATGCCCCAAATTTTTAAGTGCCTTTTTTCAAGCCTGTACTCCTGATGGTTATAAAGGATTTGAAGGCAAATGTAGGATATCCATTTAATACTTTGCTGAACATTCAAAAGTGAGATTTGTGTTCTGGAAACTGCAGTAAGCACATCATGCATTTATGAATTTGGTAGGATTCCAATGATTAATGGTTATTCATCTTAGACAGTTAAAAGTAATTAGTTTAGTAATCCAAACAGTTCTAGAACTGATTCTTCTTTCAAGTGTATTTTAGTAAACCACATATATTGCTTGACTTGCAGCTCTTTCCAGTCTCCTGTTCAGTAAATATTCTGATGTAAAGTCAGCCAAGTCAATCAGCCAAAAGTCATTTTTTTTCAGATAACAACATTTAGGCCAAGATGCATCCTTATCAAATAAAGAAAATGGAATGGCAAGACTTGATGCTCTGAAAGCTAATCTTTTCAGAACTACAAGATAAAAATAACAAAGCACGAGTGCTGGTAGTAGATGGATTTGTGCTCACCTCTCTAGTTTACAAGTAAGCCGACCGGAACTCCAAAATTCAACATAGAATTACCAAGAAATTCCTATATACAAAAGATTAAATAGATTAGCACAACAATTATCTCACCTATGATAAGGAAAATTTAAAGGTTTGCAGTTTGCCCTTCAGAAAAAAATCAAATGTTTGTTTTCCATCAAAGTTTGTTGATATTAGACATGCAGATCAACAATCATAACTGAAATGTTTAGTAGAATGGTGTTATTTTTTTTTATTCATTTGATGAGGAGCAGAAAGGTGTTATTAAAAATCAAATAGTATCATTCTTTTTGTAAAAAATTCTCTGATTTCCTACTCACATCTGGAGTTAAAATGGATAACCTAGTGATGAGTCATTTTCTTTCAGTTTACATGAGAAATGTGCACCATTTCTACAGTCCAGACATAATTATGCTTTGTCAATGCTTGCACTTTACTTTACCTAATGTATTGACTTCAAGAGCACTTAGTTGTTTCCCTTAAGTTAGCTGTTTTGATCACAAGTCATCTAAGACACTCAGCCAAATGTCTTCATAAAACAATACTTACAGGCAAAATGCTTTCTATCCACGCTCATGGACCACCAAATGACACGAGTCACCTAAAGCTGAATAAGGTAAATCTAGATGTATAAGCTAAAAATTAATACATCATGAATACCTGCAACAGTACAGAGTTGGGCTTGCATGTTCAGTTTACTGATAAAATCTGAAACTCCAAAGTTCAGAGTCAAGCTATCCAGGGATCCCTGAATATAAAATGGTAAATGGTAAGTTCAAGTATCTCAACTGTCATAAGCCATCATTTCAGATATGCTTTCAATTTTTGCCATCTGTTTCCAATTTGATTAAGCAGGCAAAACTTAAAAAGTTAAGTTAGTAATCGGTTTTCATTTATATCAAAGATTCATCAAGTTTGGATTATAACATCAATTAGGGATCAAGGGTGTTTTGCCTTGATCACTGACGATCAATGGCTAAGAGGTCTTTCACAAAATTGAGGTAAATGTTCTCTGGAATTTCACATTAAAATGAGGAGTTACATGGGTATCCATAGTTCAGATACCCATTTTCATTTCAATTTAGTGAACTAAAGATGCATAAACATCATTGTACCATGCAGTGTTATCAAAGGCGAAAAGCGCAAAAAAGCTCTAAGGTCCGTGGGGCTTTAAGCGCAAATAAAGTTTGGGCTTTAATGAAAAATGGTGCAAAGGGAGAAAAAAAATTACAAATATATATGTTTGGTCCAAGACTAATAATTATATGAATGACAAATATATGACCAAAGAAATTGATTTTTTTTTTATGATAAAGTGAAATATCAATTGTTTAGTGTCACTTCTTCATAAGAGGCACATTGGTAAGGAAAAATTTGCGTTAGAACCTTGATGACAACACTGAAGTGAGGCAAAGCGCTCAATACGTTTTGAGCCTCGCTTCAGAGCTTAAGCGCGCCTTTGATAACACTAGTACCATGTTGTTTTGTACCAATTTACATACCATGAGCTACGTCATTTCATGAAAACAAGTGAAAAGAATGTAAGATAAGATAAGGTAGCTAAAAGAAAATTGATAATAAGAGAACCCAACGAGAAAGCCCGTGTTTAACTACAAATGTGATATTTATAATTTTAGTGGAAGCATTCTTTACTTCAGCTGTGACTTAACTCAAACTATGATGTTCAAATATGCGATACTGATACAGCTAATGACGGAATCCTGGCCTCATGTCCATTGACAGTTCTCAATCAGTAGACAGTTTCAATGGTTTTTTTATTTCAGATGCCGAAAAGGTTGAGAATGATAGAAAAGGACTGTAAAGAGACAAGCACCAGTAATAATGAAAGAAGGTACAATCTTTAAGCATGAGGGCAGCACAAATCAGAGGAAGCTGCAAAAGCGTCATATTTTAAGCAACCCCTCTGAGTATCTAATTATCTCCCATATACAATGGGAGCCAGCAAAAGTACCAAATGATGTTGTTATTTTTAAAAAGGAAGCTACCAAAGAATACTAAAGTAACCAAATGCAGATCAACTGGAATGAAATACGGAGCATCTGAAGTCTAAGTTGAAGATAAGCGGTACACATTTACAATCAAATAACTCAAAAGGAGAAATTGCCTCAACAAAACAAGTTTTATTTCCAGAAAGATCCCTTAAGGCACAAAGAGGACAACTAGGGATACTTAATGCAAATTGTAGGCATGGAAAACCTATTATCCTATCCTAAACCAAGCATTTCTACAGACAATTAAAACAAGTCCTAGACAAAGTTTGCAAAGAAATTTTCATTAAGTTTCATCAGACATGGCACATGTTAGTTTAGATGGGTCCCTTCCAACTCACAATCAAGAATAAATGAAACAAAATCGCATAAATCAAATCAATACCAAGTAGTGAGCAAAGAGTAAACAAATGACCAAGTGTCACTAATAAGACCATTTCTCTCAACGTTACCCACTTTTCCAGTAAAAATTCAAGGGAGGTAGTTCACAAATTTGACAAAGACTCACATGAAAGAGTCTAATTAGTGGTACCAGAAAAACAATTTAGCCAAAGAGAGCAATCCAACGAAACCATATTTTATTCCCTATTAGCTACTAACTACCCCTAAACACACCCAGTTCAAAAAATCACTTTTTTGGAAAAGAACTGTGGCTTAAAGAAAAAAACAAGGAGCTTATTGAAATCAAATGACAAGGTAAACCTAGGAAAGTACAAAACAAGTAACATAATGCATGCAGCAAGCACTCATACAAAGGAAAAAAGTCAAAACCTTATAAACCAAAGAGAAAACACACAGTATTCCAAAATATTATCTCATTAATCACTTGGAGAACTATTGATAATTTAACATGTCAGACTATGAATCACAGGAAAAATAAGAGACTATCCATTTTAAAGGTTCAAGATTCAGCCATGGGATGAATATCAAAGTTACAGTGAGGGAACAGGCTTCACATGTAGATTTTGATACCACATGAAAGAATCTAAACTTTTAATTGAAATGGTAAAATCAAGGAAAAAACCAAGTACTTTTTAGTACATTAATTCTACTAAGGTTGCATTTTTATTTCCTAGAAGGTGCACATATATGCGCTCACAGGCTAATTGTAACAGCCTGATTAACCGTTGCCATGAGGCAGGTGCAAACTCGGCCCATTGGCCTCCTTACAGACAATTCTCCACCCTGCCCACCACCAACTGTAAAGATAAACATTTGACCTTGCTTTGAAGCTAATTAAGAGAATCCAAGGACACAATTCAAAATGCTAAAGGCAATAAGTGAAGTAGTTTAAGATGTTAATAACCTTTTCGGATGCTCTTATGTGAATGCCATATATCTCCGGCACAAACTATGCTTTCTTTCATCTAACAAGTGGTTTGGAAAATATGAGATTTGATTTAATCAAAACTTAGAAGTCCCCATCAGAAAATGAATTCTACATTAGCTAGTGAAACTCTTAGTAATTGCAACACTACAAAACCCCTGACTAGGATATATATTTCAATGTGTCTACTTGAATACAAAACCTAACTAGTAAATATGTGATGTAAGCAAGAGCAGATAACTACTTTTTCAATCTAAAAGTTGACATAATAAGTAAGATACCTTGCAGAACCCCGACCTCTGATGAAAAAAAAAACATTTAATTGTGAACTTTGCAAAGAGTATGACCACAAAGAAATGAACATAAATATTTGGAAAAATATCAATATATGCTACTCACTCCATCCCAATTTTTAATTTTTTTAGTTACTGGTGTCTGGGCTAGCTTTTGCGCACCTCGACAAATTCCACGTGAACTCCCACCAGCAATAGGAACCATGTTACTCTGTCCACCCCATCCCAATTTTACTCTTCATGTTTTGGGAACATTTAATACAATTCCACCAATAATATCATTCTATACAACTTTCACAACTATAAGAAGTTTGAATTCACGAATCTATCAAATTCGATCTTTTGAATGGTTTTCAATCAAATTGATTTTTTCAAGTAGTACTTAGATATACTTTTTCCACGAGGAGGCAAGTCAAATTGACACCTTTATTTTTTTTTTATGACAAGGGAAACCGCAACCGCTATCCTTTGGATGTACATGATAAAAAACCTTTGTTCCTATGCAATATCTCGCAAAGGAGATGTAACCCACACTAGGCAAGTCTGGTGCGACGAGCTCGACCCAAAAGGCAAACCCTTGCTTTTACAACATGGAAGTCTCAAGCCCAAACCCACTAGGTCACTCTGAAGGGTCAAATTAACACCTTAAACTCCATATCCTACAAAATGAACAGGAGGAATTACTAGAATACTACTTTTACCCCCCGAAGAATAAGAGTAGTAAGCAAAATACATATACAGCGAAGTAACACTCAAACACGAACAATTAGGTCACACTTCGAAACAAATTAACAAACAATTTGGCTGTAATAGAGTATGAGTTCGAAAAACTTATTGAAATATTAAGGAAGATGAACAAACCTGAAGTGAATAATCACAGCCCTATTGGGACCTCGGATTCGGAGAATGTTCTTAGCAATAAGAAGAGATTTTCTTAAGTAAAAAATTAGAACTCTTTAAATTATTATATTTTTATTCTTAATTGTAACCAGCGTGCCGTTTTGCCGCGCATTTCTGGTTTTCTTCTTTTTCCTTTCCCTCTTTGTGGGAGAAATTATCTTTTTGGTTCATGCAACATGATTGAAGGCTTAAAGCCAACTGTAATTCGAAAATGCTAAGCAAATATATATATATATATATATATATATAAATTTATTTTTTTATTTTTTAAATGTAATTATTATTTAATATCTATTTTTATTTTTATTTTTCAATTATTAGTTTTTGGTAATTAGTGATTGGTGATATTTTATTAATTAAATGTTGGAAAACATTGTTTCACCAATACAATCATTATATGCATTGTTAACATAATTCTATAAGTAATAAGTTGATAAATTTTAGATAAAGATAAAAGTTAAAATTATATAATTTAATTCAAGAAGAAAAAGTTACTTGACATAACCCATTTTAATATGCCTATTGTGATGCTTACAAATTTAAGGGCTTGCAATTTAGGAGGGGGATATTTTTTTACTATTGATTCATATTTTTGATACAGTTTTACTCTAAGTCTCCGACTTATCAAAAATTTGATGAAAAAGAGTAGAGTTAAAATGAATAATTTAATAAGAATGCTAGCGAATAAAATGCAAAAAAGTAAAATAATATTTTCTTGGTTTCTTCTATTTGTATATGCTTAATGAGGATAAAATAATATTTTTTTACTAAAAAATTATACTTTTCATCATAAATAATACATAATTTTTATTGATAAAAATTTGAGTTCTCCCCTCCTCACCCCCACCCCTCCAAATTAGATGCCTAAGACATATGTTTTATTTTTAAAAAAAACATAGGGCTGTTTATCCATTTTTTAAGAATTAGTATGTCGTTAGGCTTTAAGCAACTTAATAGTCCTTAATATTTTATTTTTTCGTATGTCGCTAGTGTAGGAGAAAGAGAAAAGAATAAATAGAGTAGATTACCAGATAGGAAATTAAACCCCCTTATCAATAAGATAAAAGTTCAATAAACTAAGCAACTGACTAAAGATTTTTAGTAATATTAAATTATAAACTCGATTATTATTGTCCAACTAATCATGATCCGCGTGTGACATACCCCACGGGCTTAATTTTGACGTAGAGTAGGAAGCATCCCGGAAACAACACATATTTGTTGTACATGCCATGCAGTATCTTCCTCAGCCTACATAAGCATATAAGGACAACAACAACCTATCTAGCTTATCCAATCCCTCTTTTTGTTTCAACTCTATAAAGAAAAAAATGTAGTAGAAGCCTAATTAAGCCTGTGTTTTCTAGCTATAGTAGTAATTCTAGTATATACTAGTAATAAAAGATTGATGAAGATGTGGTACTATTTGATGGTGGTTATTGATGGAGTGAAGCAATTCATAACAACACTATGGGAATTGCAAGAGATGAGATTCTCAGCCATATTTGATGACTTGAGCTACATTACTATGACCATCATTACGGCGGCTGTTTCTTGTATTATTCACCAACATCATCAGCATCTCTCTAGCTAGAATTTTAATTTCTTAGATGTTCATGTTTTTACAACAAATTTTCTAAGAAAGTGATTGTTTTGATGAACATTTGCGAGGGTTGTTAGTAGCGTATTGCTCGTAGGATGATTTGAATATTATATGTTGTGGTGTATTTGATCACTAATTAAGAAGTAAGGAACAACGAAATGGCTTTGAGAATGATAGTATTTGATTATTTTATCTCTTTGTAAATATATATATCTCATATGAGGTTTTGAGATGTGTATCGGTCAAGAGAATATGTACCATGTATAGATGTCGGGTTGTTCGTGGTTTTAGTTAAAAAATTAAATTGAATCGCAACCCGAATCACACCGATTAAGAAAATAGATATTTGATTTGATTTGGTTATGTTTCTTTTGAATTTTGAAAACCGACACTATTTGGTTTGGTTTTGATTGTACTAAAAAGAATCGCAAAAATAAACAAAGAGAACGTAGAAATTATATATATAAATTTTATAATTATTTATATTCATAAATAAAATATAATATTTTATTAAATTTTAATTAACTTCAATAAAAAAGAAAGAAAACTACTACAATACATAAGAAATACAGCGAGACAGAGAATAGAAAGATCAATTCCCTCTCAGTTCACAGCGGATCCAAACACAATTTAAAAGCTCTTTCTGATACGTTTTATCCGTACAATTGTCTTTCAATACTTTGAATGCTACATCTTCCAAAGAGTAGTAAGTATAGTCGTTACAAGTGTTGAAAGTGGGGAAGAAAACTGCATTATCCACATTTACGTTCATGCCACAAACAGCAACCGATGAGGCTTCGCTAGTGAAAAAAAGCCAATTTTTGACTTCTTTTACTAATTTGACTATTATGTTGCTTCCAAAGTCTAGTTCATAAACATGAACATCATGTTGTGGTGTCACAACCACGGAATGTAGCACATTTTGATCCTGTTGAACTAAAAACAAACGGCAAGCATCATAAATACGAGGTGAATATTGTTGAAAAAGTTTATGGATAACCCAGTAAGGGGTTCCGTCTTTAAAGCCAAATACACCAACATCACCGTGTTGGCCTATGACACAAAATTCTTCACCAAAGTAGACCGGACTAGAAGATGAAAGTAGGAATGGCATCTCACTGTCCCTTGTGATACAAGTCCATCTATCATCCCCTTGTCTCAAATATGAAATCCTAACTTGAAACACATTTAATAAAGCTATACCAAAGATTACCCACCCAGAAGAATTAGTTGGAGAAGCTGAGAATGACATAATGTCACATAAATAGTCGTATCTTTTTTGTGGGAGATGAATGATTTGCTTCCGAGAAGGCGAAGGCTCAAGTAAGAAGAAAGACTTTCCCTTAGACACAAGAAGCCATCCATCTTTTGCATACCGAATTTCACAGCCTACTAAATCGTTGTTGCTCATATAACAGTTGAAATTTCTAAAGGGATTATAGAAGGTGCACAAACCATCCTTTCGGTTTAGAGATAGAAGCCACATGGAGTCTTGATCATAAGAAGGAGCTGCATCACCATCAACAACCACTTTCCAACGTAATGGAGGAGCAACAGATCTCCATAATTTACACACCAAGCGAAAACTCATGTATGCTTCTTGAGAAATTAGATAACGAGAAATTTCACTTTGAAGATCTAGAGAAAGACGGATGCAAATGTTGCTGTCTACAGGCGCAGGCTTACTTTTAATACTGGATGGACGCTTTTTCAACTTGTCTTCTGCAGTACTAGTGTTATGTTGAATTTTGGCCCTTCCTGACCTAAAGAAGTCATCAACATCAAATGTTAACAATATTTACAAATATTTAATGTAGAAGACGAAATTAAACAAGTATCTAAATTATTACCTGTCGAATAGAGGAAACGAATTGTGAGAACTACAAATACGAAATTGTTTAGTGGTTGACAAGCTTTGATCGCCAACGTGGAAGGCATATAAAGTGCGGTGATCATTGCACTGTGTGAAATAGACATTGTTATTTTCTTGAGGTAGAGATGAAGAAGTTGCAGCAGAGAATTGTCCACTTAGAAAAATAATAAATCCGTCCAAATTGAATACTCTGTTGAATTGTTTAGTTTCAAAATCGGCCTCCCAAACCTCAAAGATGGAAGGTGATCCGACTTTTCGTTGAACTAGAAATAATTGATCTTGCCACGAAACCAAGTGTCTGTTTCGATATACAGCAGAGACATCTGTTGGTGCCCTGAATGTAAAAGGAGACAGACAAGTAGAAGTAGTTATTTCGGGGATCATTTGTATTATGCCTAGTTTCCCTTCCTGGAACAGAGTGCATATTTTCTCACCGTTACAAAATGTGACTGCGTCGACCAACCTGCTATAATCATAAAGTTTTACCTTTACCCACTTTTTATAATAAGGAGGACCACAAATTAGACAATACGGTTCTTCGCGAAAGAATAGGGAGACGTTGCATAAATATTCATCGTGGTAGGAAAAATATTCATGTGTTGAAGGGGAAACAACACACTTGAGCACCTCTGTTATCCAGTAATCGTAGTGATGGAAATAAGGGAGCATGATTTTGGTATGACATTTGAAGTGCCAAACAAAACATTCCACCCCGTCAATGCAAAAACCCCAATCGTCCCAACGAGCCAAGCAATATCTGCCCTTCTTGTTAACATCAATTTGTTCATTGGAAGTGATTGATGACAAATATTTTTTGTCCATCTCTTGAGCCCTGACAGATGACATTGATGAATAGTATGACTTGCTTTATTCAGAAGTAACAACCCAATTCATACATCCCTCTCTTTATATAATAACTCAATTCATATACTAGTTGTTTCCCAGTACAACTAGCTTTAGGGAAACGTATGTTTTTTTTAATTCCTTGCTCATGTCAAACATATATATGTTTAGCCAAAAACAAAAACAAAAATAAAGCACTTTTTGACTTTTATTAGGATTCCTATTACATATTTACTTTGCCAAACTTAACTAGTATAACTTTTTGTTTTCCAAAAATAAAGGCTGTTTTAATGAATTTTTTATTTTTCAAAAAAAGGCTGTTTTTTTTTCCTTTGTCAAAATAATACTCCTTCGACACGGCAGTACTTGTTTTGCTAAAAATAAGCTACTTCCTAATTTTGTTAGGATTCTTATTACATTAAATTGGTTTATAATTTTTTAATTGATAAATAATACTAATTTGGGAAATATAGTAATTTTTAAAAATAAATTAAAACAAAAAAATATACAATATAATTTTCTTATAACAAATGCATATGAATATGTAGAGCTGTCAAAATGGGCTTGGCCCGCTAGGTCGGCCCAACCCAACCCTTGAATTAAGTGGGGTTGGGCCTAATTTTTTTGGCTCATTTAGGAATGATGCTTTTTAGTTCAACCTCATTTGACCCGCTAACCTCGTAGGTTCAACCCGGAAGCCTCAGAGGCCAGCCCGTGGGCTATGAATATTTAAAAATATTTTTTATATATATTTTTAGTAGTATTTTATTTGTAAAGTTTTTATCAATAAATATTTTTAAAAATAAAAAATCAATTCTTTTAAACTAGCTAGTTTTTTGTGGGAGGAATGGTGGAATGATCAACATTTTTCCGCTAAATCTTACGTTGACTATTATGTATATTTGTATGTATTCACCGAAGTGTGTGATTCATAAATGTATTTTTGTAAGTATTCACCAAAGTGTGTGATTCATAAATGAAAATTTGTATGTATTGATGTCATCTTCATAAACGTCAACGTTCGATACTCTTAGATACTCTTCTAAGAGAGTAATATTGTTCATTTTTTGGTTGAAGGGCCAACCCGTCCCAACCCGTGGCCCGCTTAGGGCTGGGTTGGGCTGCTATTTTATAGGTCCTTTAATTAAAAGGATCAGCCTGTCCCAACCCATTTAACTCTCTAGCCCGTTAGAATTGGGTTGGACCAGCCCATTTTGACAGCTCTACTCATATGGAAGCTGCCTTGAGGGTTGTCAGGTATATCAAGGGGGCACCAGGACTGGGCCTACTAATGCCAGCTGAATCATCTAGTACCTTGGAGGCCTTGTGTGACTCAGATTGGGCAGGATGTCTTCAAACCAGAAAGTTTGTTACAGGTTACCTAGTTAAGTTTGGAGGTGCCTTGATTTCTTGGAAGTCAAAGAAGCAAGACACCATCTCTAGAAGTTCAGCTGAGGCAGAGTTTAGAAGCATGGCATCAGTGATAGCTGAATTAACATGGATGACAGGGCTGTTTAAAGAGCTTGGGATAAGCATTCATCAGCCAATACATCTTCAATGTGACAACAAGGCTGCCATTCAGATAGCTCACAATCCAATATTTCATGAAAAGACTAAACACATAGACATAGACAGTCATTTGTGAGAGACAAGATAGTGCAGGGTATGATCAAGACTCAACATGTTCCCACTAAAGAACAGCTTACTGATCTACTCACTAAGAGCCTTGGGAAGCAGCAACATTGTTATTTTTTGTCCAAACTGGGATTGAAAGATATACTTGAGGAAGGGTGTTAAATATAAGTTAGTCAGTTAGTTATTCTGTGAGTACAGTCAGAGTAGTTAGTTACAAGCTACAGCTGGCATCAGCTACAATAGAAGTTAGTAATTGGCATAAATAGCATGTATATACGACCTTGTATTGAAACATTCAGTTGAACAATCGATCAATGGGAATAACAGTTTTTTCTCTGCTTCACTGATATGCCTTCTTCTTCACTTTGATTTGATGGATGATGAAGGTTACTGAAGCTTTCATAGCTTATCCAATCCCTCTTTTTCTTTCAATTCTGTAAAGATAAAAATGTCGTAGAAGCCTAATTAAGCCTGTGTTTTCTAGATAGTAGTAATAAAAGATTGATGAAGATGTGGTACTACTTGATGGTGGTTATCGATGGAGTGAAGCAAACGCTATGGGAATTGCAAGAGATGAGATTCTCCACCATATTTGATGACTTGAGCTACATTGTTATGACCATCATTACAGCTGCTGTTTCTTGTATTATTCACCAACATCATCAGCAGACTCTAGCAAGAATTTTAATTTCTTAGATGTTCTTGTTTTTACCTAACTATTACAATCCTAAGTCAAGTCCATCAAAATCGATAAACACTCATAACAGTTTGGAAAAATGATCTGCCAAGAGTCGAACCCGTCTATTGCTTAAAAGACAGAACCGTTGGACTACAAATACTTGCCTGTAGCATTTTAGTACATCAAAAATTTCTAAACTCTAAATTTTTTTAACATTGTGAGTTTTTGTTATGCATATTTAACTTTCAATTAATTTATAAGTGCATTTTTAATTCCTCAAACTATGAATCTTCACATATTTGGGTCAAGTTTTACATTTAAAAAAAAGGATTGAAATCCCAAATTATGTTTTTTTTTTTTTTTTGAGATTTTAAAATTTCAAATTATGATCTCAAATCACAAAGCAAGCTAAATATAAAGTGACGAACTTTAACTAACTTTCTTTTTACTCTATATTCTATCTGACAAACATTTGAAAGAAATTTTAATCAACAAACCCATACCAGTAAAGAAGAAACTTAAAAAGCTAATTATGCAACTTATCCTTCTAAGTAAGACTAATTCATTCACTTCAACAAAAAAGAAAGAAATATATAAGAGAGGGTAGAAAGATCAAGAAACAAAACCACTACAATACATAAGAGAGAGTAGAAAAATCAATTCTCTGTCAGTTCACAGCGGATCCAAACACGATTTAAAAGCTCTTTCTGTTGCGTTTTATCCGTACAATTGTCTTTCAATACTTTGAAAGTGACATCTTCCAAAGAGTAGTAGGTATAGTCGTTACAAGTGTTGAAAGTGGGGAGGAAAACTGCATTATCCACATTTACGTTCATGCCACAAACAGCCATAGATGAGGCTTCGCTAGTGAAAAAAAGCCAATTTTTTACTTCTTTTACTAATTTGACTATAACGTTCCCTCCAAAATCTAGTTCATAAACATGAACATCATGTTGAGGTGTCACAACCACGGAATGTAGCACATTTTGATCTTGTTGAACTAAAAACAAACGGCAAGCATTAGAAATAGGAATAGGAGGTGAATATAGTTCAGAAAGTTGATGGATAACCCAGTAAGGGGTTCCGTCTTTAAGGAAGCCAAATACACCAACATTACCACCGTATTGGCTGATGACACAAAATTCTTCACCAAAGTAGACCGGACTAGAAGATGAAAGTATGAATGGCACCTCACTGTCCCTTGTGATAGTAGTCCATTTATCATTCCCCTGTCTCAAATATGAAATCCTAACTTGAAACAAGTTTAAAAAAGCTATACCAAAGATTACCCAGGCAGAAGAATTAGTTGGAGAAGCTGAGAATGACATAATGTCACAGAAATATTCATCTGTTTTTTGTGGGAGATGGATTATTTGCTTCCCAGAAGGCGAAGGCTCAAGTAAGAAGAGAGACTTTCCCTTAGACACAAGAAGCCATCCATCTTTTGCATATCGAATTTCACACCCTACTAAATCGTTGTTGCTCATATAACCGTTGAAATTTCTAAAGGGATTATAGAAGGTGCACAAACCATCGTTTTGGTTTAGAGATAAAAGCCACATGGAGTCTTGATGATAAGAAGGAGCCGCATCATCATCATCAACAACCACTTTCCAACGTAGTGGAGGAGCAACGGATCTCCATAATTTACACACCAAGCGAAAATTCATGTATGCTTCTTGAGAAATTAGATGACGAGAAATTTCCCTTTGAAGGTCTCGAGAAAGATGGATGCAAATGTTGCTGTCTACAGGCGGACGCTTACTATTAATACGGGATGGACGCTTTTTCAACTTGTCGCTTCTAGTATTAGTACTAGTGTTATGTTGAATTTTAGGCCTTCTTGACCTAAATAAGTTATCAAAATTAAATGTTCTGAACAATATTCACAAACTTTTAAAGTAGACAATGAAATTAAACAAGTATCTAAATTACCTGGCGAATAGAGGAGGAAGCGAATTGGGAGGACGGTAGACACGAAATTGTTTAGTGGTTGACAAGCTTTGTTCGCCAATGTGAAAGGCATATAAAGTGTCGTGATCACTGCCCTCTGTGAAATAGATCTGGTTTTTTTCTTGAGGTAGACATGAAGAAGTTGCAGCAGAGAATCGTCCACTTAGAAAAATAATAAATCCATCCAAATTGAGTAATCTGTTGAATTGATTAGTTTCAAAGTCGACCTCCCAAACCTCAAAGATAGAAGGTGATCCGATTTTTTGTTGAACTAGAAACAATTGGTCTTGCCACGAAACCAAGTGTATTCTTCGATGCATAGCAGTGGCATCTATCGGTGCCCTGAATGTTGTGACAGGAGACAGACAAGTAGTTTTAGTTATTTCAGGGATCATTTGTATTATGCCTAGTTTTCCTTCCTGAAACAGAGTGCATATTTTTTCACCGCTGCAGAACGTGACTGCATCGATCAACCTGTTATCATCATACAGTTTTACCTTTACCCACTTTTTATAATAAGGAGGACCAGTAATTAGACAATACGGTTCTTGGTGAAAGAATAGGGAGACGTTGCATAAGTATTGATCGTCGTAGGGAAAATATTCATGTGTTGAAGGGGAAACAACACAATTGCTCACCTCTCTTATCCAGTCATTGCAGTGATAATAATAAGGGAGCATGATTTTGGTATGACATATGAAGTGCCAAACAAAAGATTCACATATGTCAATGAAAAAACCCCAATCGTCCCAACGAGCCAAGCAATATCTTCCCTTCTTGTTAACATCAATTTGTTCCTTCGAAGTGATTGATGACAAATATTTTTTGTCCTTCTCTTCAGCCCAGACAGATGAATAGTAACTGTTCGTCTCCATGAGAATCTTTTTGACTTGTTTTAATCAGAAGTAACAAGCCAATTGATACATCCCTCTCTTTATATAATAACTCAATTCATATACTAGTTGTTTCCTAGTATAACTAGCTCTAGGGAAACGTATGTTTTTTATTAATTCCTTGCTCATGTCAAACGTATATATGTTTAGCCAAAAAAATAATAATAAATAAATAAAGCACTTTTTGACTTTTATTAGGATTCCTATTACATATTTACTTTGCCAAAAATAACTAGTATAACTTTTTGTTTTCCAATTACTTTAAACCCTTTTCTCTAGGATGCGTGTAAATACAACCAAATACACGTCATTTCTTAGTGACACGTCAGAAAATAAATATAAAAAAATATTAATAGCATTTAAAAATTCTATTTTTAACTTTTTCTCTCGTTGTAGCCCTTTCCCCATCCCCTTTCTCATCTGATCTCACCTCCAGCGCCTCCCCCAACCAAATCCAAACCCATCTCCCATCCTTTAGCAATGGCGATGATATTTATCTCGTTCGTCTCCGGCGAAGAGTTGAAATCGAGTAAATGGACTAGTATCGGAACAATTTCTTGAGCTACTGCAATCAATACGTTCTTGTCATCTTTCTGTAACAGCCCAAGATACGAGTCCAATATTGAGTTCTTCAGCTCGGTCGTTTCGATCTGAAACTGAGTTATCAGGTTCCTCGATTCAGCCCGTATAGTCTTGTGATTCGAGTTTTCAATTTTAGAGAGAAGTTTCCAGTTTGAATTTTCAAATTAAAAGCTCAAAATCATGTAACCCGTTCTCAATTCGAAGACAAATAAATCAGAAATGGATTTGAAGATTTATTTCTTTTTGATTTCATATAACCATTTCTGTTGAATGAGAAATTTTTTTCTTCTTCGGTTTCAATGAGTAATTTTTACAATGAGAAATCTACCGGCGGCGGACATAATTATCCTAATTATTTTTATTTACTAAAATTAGAAGAGGAAAGGAATATTTTAATTTTTCCTTTTTAAAATAAAATTTCTGATTATATGTGTATTTCTAGCCGTTCACGCTCTTAATTTGCGTGTAAATCACACACTTTTAAGTTTGTTCAATGGTTAGAAGGGTTTAAAATATTGTGTTTCATTGAGTTTAAGTGTCTAGTTGACAAAGTTATGAGTAAAAGGGTCCAGTTTACAATTCGACCCAAATATAAGGGTCTATCAGACCCTTTTGCCTTCCAATATATACTCATTTAGATATGTTACTATATTAAAGGTATATTATCTATTTAACATCTTTTAGGATTTATCTATCTATTTGTTACTTTAGAAAAAAATAATCTTGAGTTAAAATTCGAATTGTGATTATAAAAGTTAAATATCACTATGTTAAAATTATTGAGATTAATCGGGTCAAATTGGGCGGGTTCAAGACCCAACCCGTTTTTAAGCCCATTTGAACCCAAAGTAAACTTGGGCGAGTTAAGACCCAACCCGATTTCTATTTCAATTCATTTTAATATCTTCAATTTCAACCCAACCCGCCCATTTGACACCCCTAGTGGTGAAGTTTGATTAAGTAAAGTATAGGGATAAGGGTCTGAAAAATATCCCAACTTTGGTCGAATTTGTTGTTGCGATACAAAACTTTCATGAGGACCTATTACCTCCCTAGACTATTTGGTCGAATTTGTTGTTGCGATACTAACTTTTTTGTTAATTAAAGTTTTCAATTTTGAGAGTCAAACAATATAAATTTTGACCAACATTTTAAGATGTATTTTTCATTAGATTTGATATGGAGAAGGTTGCAAGTTGTAATACTTTCCCTATAGTTTTTGTATATTTAGCGCAACAGGACAACTAAAAAATAATGTAGAAAGTATGTTGATAGTAGTAATAGAAAACAAGTAATTCGTTCGTCCAACCTGACTTTCATTAATGATAAAAAAACACTGAAATGCAACACAAAAAATAAAATAAAAATACGAGTAGATTACTACATAATCCCTATCACATGTTTGACTCAAGCAGCCATGAATTTGTAACTGAACACTCTTTCACTGCTACTTTCAGATGTAGTAGGCATCACTGTCAAATTATGGTGAAAGGACGAAACTATCATCGTAGGATGAGTAACAATAGCTTTGTAATCTCCATGGAAAAGTGAAGTCTCGAAATAACCCTCAGCATTTGTAGTCCCAACCAAATCCTCATGTGTTAATGACACACGAATTTTGTCAACAACATCTCCAGTCGCTAGATTTTTGAAGTTGTTATCAGTCAAACACATTTTATAACATCCATTTGGTGTCCATGCTGACCAAATTAGTAACCCTTGAACAGCTGGGTGTCCAACTACCTCCTTTATAATTTGATCCAAGAATTGCGCCTTCAGTGTCAAAAAAATAAGATGTTAGAATAATTATGACTAAGATCTTTGATTCGATTTAACTTTATATGATATATAGAATATGAGTACCTGATTTGGACTGCTTTGGACATCCAACTCAGTGATCCAAATGGGTAATTTTGCAGAAGCAAGTGTATCGATTGCGGACCTAATATAAGCCTGGTTAGGAGTAACAAAATGTCCTTCCAATCCAATTCCAAGAGAACCTCTATACCCTCCTGCTCTTATTTGTCTAATCTTATTAAGATAATTGGCTGGTGATGAAGCTCCATCGCGTTGATCTTCTATCGTATTAAACTCATTCAAGAACAGAGGTGTTCTATTATCAAATTGTGCAGCCAAACGAAAAAAGGTAGCAGATGCACTTGCACCAAGTTTACTCTCCAAGAAATTGAAGTGAAGATTTTCATTCACAACATCCCAATGAATAACTTGGCCTCTATATTTCGCCACGACTGAACCAACTCTTCTTCCAGCAGCAACAGAGAGTTGTTGTGGGGATAGTGAAGGGACCCAATTTGGCTGAAATTTTGGGTCATCCCAAAGTATATTATGCCCTCGGATGCTGACACCTTTGCTCTTGCATAAATTGACCATTGCATCAGAAGTTGAGTAGTCTACTTTGCCTTGAGAATTTTCAGTACTATACCATTTCATTTCATCCTCAAATACTGTGTACTTGAATCTCGAGAAGAACCAATTTTGATAAGCATTGTTATTAAGAATGTTTTTGTTCATTGCACAACCAAATGGGAAATTGGCTCTTCCTTGTATCAAAGAGATTGTCGCATTAGGTAAAGGCTTGCCTTGCGAGTCCACCACTTGGATTACCACTTTGCTTTTTCGTACCTACATAATATTACAAGAATGAAATCGAACATATATATAGAGAAAAGAAGACCAATTATTCAAATTAATTGGTACATTCTATTTTGTACCTTTTCAATGGTTTGAGTTTGATGGGACGTCCACTCTTCTTGGCTAAATGGTTGTACTGAAATATTGTCTATCCATATGTCAACTGCTGTATTATTGGTCTGAGAAAAGGAAAAAGCTTGAAAAGATTATGATTATGTTATTCATATGTAAATCTCTATATGATAAACACTAAACAATAAAAAAAAATGGTAACTAGTCAAATAGATTTGATGAATGAGGGCAATAAATTTCATCACCTCAAAATAAAGTTGAGCAGGACCAGAAGCATTGACAACTAAGCCACCCTTGAACATAGACCAACAACCAGATTTAGCATTAGCCCAAGCAGCATGTTGAAAACCACCTTGTGTCTTGAATATCACTGCTATAGTGGCATCATCACCATGGTTCACTTGTACCCATCCTTAAAATTAAACATACTAATATATTAGAAAAATTAATCTAAATCGTCGTTAAACTAAAAATAATTCACGGATATATAAGTGGAGAGTTGTACCAGAAACTACGTAGAACTTGTCTTTGTCCAATTGAAACTCTTGTGAAAAACCATGATACGGTCCTTTCCTCTCTGAGGCAACGATGAATTTATTTCCATCGCTTGAAACATTGTTCTCAATTTTAGCGACTCCCAAAACGGCCCATCCATTTAATCCATCATTAAATTCTGGATTTGTCACGATCCCTCCATTATATTGAGGTTTAAGAGGATTTTTCAAACACTGAAATACAAATTAAGAACAATGAAAAATGATTAGTAATTAATAAGCTAAGCAACAAGAGAAAAAAAAAAGTTAAAAAGTAAGAAATTATGCCTCGGCTGAGAAACTATAGTCATAATCTAGCGCATGGACTTCTAAACCTGTCAAACATATAAAAATAAAGTCATAAGATAATACAAACTTATTTTTCTAGAAAAAAAATTCAAAATATTTAATCAATCATATATGAAAAAAAGATATTTTTTTCTAAAAGTTATTATACAAACCTATCGAGATGAGCAGCAAACAACATAACACAAGAACTACACACTCTTGTTTCATGGTGTCCATGGAAAAATAATCTGCATTTTCAAATACACAATTACTATATAATTCTGTTATATATATTATGAAAAAAATAAAAGAAATCTATAATACGAAATTTAGTATATGTAAGATTGCAAGAAAGAAAAAACGACTTTTCAAACTAAGATTTTACGAAGTATTACAAACATTCCGTTTCAAATCTATGCTAAATCTAACAATTTAATCAAATATAATGATTAAAAAATCATTAGAAAAGTTTTGATATAAACATCAGTTGAATAAAAAAAATTCCTCTACCACTCCCCTCCAAACAAAGAAAATAATCTAGAGAACTAAGAATCATTTTAACTTACATTGTTAAAATGTAAGTAATGATATTTTTGAAATGCTCAACATCAACACTATTTATAGTGTAAAACTAGGCTTAAAATTGATTTTGAATGACAAAAACGGAAAATATTTTAGGCAAATCAAACAAGGATTAGGGAATTGATTAGATGTAAGAGAATGGGGAATTGACTCGATCGATAGGAGGAAGAATAGGAATTTAATTAGATAAGAGACTGAGTTTGACTATTTTGTTTAGTTTCCTGGTAATTAAATTAAAAATAATATATTCAAATGTTTGATATGCTAAACTGAATTTTTTAGCAATTACGAAATATATTATATTTGTTAAGAATGGTTTTCTTCTTAAGTAGGTAATATTATTTATGAAATTCAAAATCATTGTTAAATATATTTTTGCTACATAATGAATTATTCCAAATACCTTATTCTATAAAATATCTAAACATATTTGCTACTTTAATTCATAAAATTTGTTATGATTAAATATTTAAATTTATTTATATCGGCCGCACGTGTACTAGTACTAATTCTATAAAAATATATTTTAAATTAGTTACTTGTATGGAAATCACTAAATATTAGGGAATTGATTAGATAATAGATAAAGGAATCAATTAGATATGAGGAGGATTAGGGAATTAATTGGATAAGATGTTACGTTTGAATATTTTATTTCTGGTAACTAAATTTTTAAACTATTCAAATGTTTCATAAGGTGAATTTAAATTTCTTAGCAAATGCGAAATACTATATATTTTTTTAGAATGATTTTACTTTTTATCAGGCGAGATCACCTCTTAAATTTTGAATATCATTGCCAAAATATATTTTTGCTACATAATAAATTGTTCCAAATACCTTATTCTATAAAATATCTATACATATTTGCTACTTTAATTCATATATATTTTTTATTTATATTGGCCACATATCACTCTAGTACTAAAAGCCTATTTAAAATTTTGAATGACGTTATAGCTTATGACTCAGAGGTTCAGAGCCCATTTGGATAGACTTACAACTTTTGACTATTGAATAATTTTTGTCTTTTTAATTTAAAATAAATATTTAAAAGCTTTTTTTTTAATTCGAACACTAAAAATTTTAAAAAGTTATTTTGGGCTTAATGCTCGTCGATCATACAATTTCATTTCGTTCTTGAATCGTGATGTAATTTTAAGCCAATTATTTTATTTAGGAATAGATCAGGATCTTGTATCAAAGAGATATATATTTCTATTTATTTACCTTTTTAGTGCTTTGATATTTGATGAAATTGTCACTTTTAGCCTCTTGAGAAAATGGTTTTACTGATATGTTGTATGCCCATAACTCAATGGCTATTGGCTAGATGTATTGTTGGCCTATACTGTATAAATAAAAATAAGTGAAAATGATTAAACAAGTTGAATTAGGGCAACTAGCTAGCCATCACAATTTATTAAAAAAATTATTTATACTTTTAATGAAAGAGTAACATATATATAACTAACCTCAATTACCTGAAGTGTTTAGTATTGAGAGTTTGAAGAATAAATCAAATAAAAGAGTTGAATTAAATTTAGATAAGTCAAAATAATTCGAGTTAAAAAATAAGTGAATTTGATATATATTAATTTTTACTTGCACTTATATGGACCGACTCGAGATAGGCTAAACAATGGTCAATATATACCAAACTGACCAAACTCTTACATAAAATTATTTATTTAATTAATTTTATTATATTTATTTATTTTTTAAAGTTAATTTTTACTTTTTATTGATACCACAAGAAGGGGAAGGAAACTCCCGATACATACTTATCTAATTACCTAAACAAACTTTTTTCATTAGAGCTATACATAACTTATAAATGAAGTACTTATTTTAGAAAATATTTTGAAAGGGCATCACAAAATATGTTTGCGTTAACATGTTGATAATAATAGAAAAAGAGTCGTTCTTTCATTCAACTTTTGTATTCTATCATAACATTATTTATAGATTTACTATACATATAATCTCTATGGCCTATAATAGTCTTATGCAGCGGTAAATTTGTAACTCAATGATAATTTTTCATCGCTTTCAGCTGTGGGCGTAACTGTCAAATTGTGGTGAAAGGACGAATCCGCCATGGAAGGATGAGTAACAATGGCTTTATAATCCCCATGAAATAGTGAAGTCTCGAAATAACCCTCAGTAGTTGTAGTCCCAATCAAACCCTCATGTGATAATGTCGCACGAGCTTTGTCCACAACATCTCCCGTCGGTAGATTTTTGAAATTGTTATCAGTTAAACACATTCTGAAACATCCAGTTGGTTTCCATGCTGACCAAATTATTAACCCTTGAACAGCTGGGTGTCCAACTATCTCCTTTATAACTTGATCTAACACTTGTGCCTGCCAAAAGAAAGAAAAAATGTTACAACAATTATGGGAAATATATCGTATTCATTTAATTTACCTGATTTTGCTCTGGTCTAACATCCAACTCAGTGATCCACATGGGCAATTTTGTAGAAGCAAGTGTATCGAGTCCGGCCCTAATATAAGCTATGGTCGGAGCACCAAAATGTCCTTCTAATCCAATTCCAAGAGGACCTGCGTACCCTCCTGTTCTAAGTTGTTTAATCATATTAAGATAATTAGCTGGTGATGATTGTCCGTCACTTGGCACTTCTATTGTATTATATTCGTTTAAAAACAGAGGTGTTTTATTATCAAATTGTGAAGCCAGACGATAGAAAGTAGCAGATGCATTTGCACCAAGTTTACTCTCGAAGAATTTGAAGTGAAGATTTTCATTCATAACATCCCAATGAAGAAGTTGGCCTCTATATTTCGTAACAACTGATGCAACCCTTTTTCCAGCAGCAACAGAGAGTTGTTGTGGAGACAATGCAGGGACCCAATTTGGCTGATATTTTTGGTCGTCCCAAAGAACATTTTGGCCTCGGATACTAACACCTTTACTCTTGCATAAATTGACCATTGCATCAGAAGTTGAGTAGTCTACTTTGCCTTGAGAATTTTCAGTACTGTACCATTTCATTTCATCTTCAAATACTGTGTACTTGAATCTCGAGAAGAACCAATTTTGGTAAGCATTGTTATTAAGAATGTTTTTGTTGATTGCAACACCAAATGGGAAATTGGCTCTTCCTTGAAACAAAGAGATTGTCGCATTAGGTAAAGGCTTGCCTTGTGAGTCAACCACTTGGATTGCGACTTTACTTTTGCGTACCTACATAATATTACAAGAAATGAAATCGAACATATATATATATATATATATATAAATAGCGAGAGAGAGGAGACCATAGAGTAACAAATTTTTCAAAGTTCTATTTTGTACCTTTTCAATGGTTTGAGTTTGATGAGACGTCCACTCTTCTTGGCTAAATGATTGTACTGAAATACTGTCTACCCATATGTCAATATCCGCATTATTGGTCTGGGAAAAAGAAAAAAAAGAAAAAATCGAGAATAAGTAATTAACGATATTCATGTAATCAAGTTTATTAAGTATTATATATTAATCTCTATATGATTAATGATAATTGGTAACTAATTAGTATTTTTTTACCTCAAAATAGAGTTGAGCAGGACCAGAAGCATTAACAACTAAGCCACCCTTAAACATAGACCAACAACCAGATTTAGCAATCCCCCAAGCAGCATGTTGAAAACCACTTTGTGTCTTGAATATGACTGCTACATTGGCATCATCACCATGATTCACTTGTAGCCATCCTAGAGATTAAATATATCTCAATAGTCATTCATCAATGCTTAAGCAAAAAATAATCAGACGAATATATAATTCACGTTATAATTGTTGAAGTTAGTACCAGAAATCACATAGAACTTATCTTTTTCCAATTGAAACTCTTGTGAGAAACCATGATATGGTCCTTTTCTCTTTGAGGCGACAATGAATTTATTTCCATCATTTGCAACGTTGTGTTCAATTTTAGCATCCCCGAAAAGGGTCCATCCAGTTAATCCATCATTAAATTCTGGATTTACCACTATCCCTCCATTATATTGAGGTTTAAGAGGTCTTTCCAAACACTACAAACATAACCATGACAAATGATAGAGTAATTAATTAGCTAATCAACAAGACAAAATATTAAATAAATTTTTTATTCTTGTAAATGATTTAAAGCAAAAAAAAAATAAAAAAAATATACCTCGGCTGTATAACTGTAGTCATAATCGCTCGCATAAACTTCAAACCCTGTCAAATATATAACAATAGAGTCATAAATTAACATATCTCAATTTTTTTATTTTGAAGGAATTTGCTTTGACCAAACAAATGTATAAAAATTAGAAAATATTTTTCATAAACTATTTTTCTTCATACCAAACACACTTTAATGAAAAAAAAGAGATACAAAACCTGTTGAAGCAAGTAGTAAGTAATATGACACTACAACTAGAACTTCTCTTTTCATGATATCCATAGCAAATAATCTGCATTTACAAATAGATAATTACTATGAGGAGAAAAATAGTGTAATTTAATATCTAAGTCTAACAATTATATAAATCACAAAAAATGATAGGGAAATTTTGATGTAAACATCAGTTGAGTAAATAAATTCCTTGAACTGCTCCTCTCCTTGGGAACTAAGAATTACCAATAAATTACATTTACCTTGAGATGGTGTTAAAATGCAAGTAATGATATGCATGAAGTGTTCAACATCAGTACTATTTATAGTGTAAAAAGTTTACAAGGTTTAAATTTATTAAGAATGAAAATCAATTATATTTCCTTTTTTGGAAATTCTAAATCAAAGATTTTCAATTCTTACTGAGGCATATTTTCGAATTAGTTTATTAGGCTTAAATTTAATTGATTGGGAATGAAAATCAATTATATTTCTTTTTTTTGGAGATTCAAAGTCAAAGATTTTCAATTCCTATTAAGGTATATTCTAAAATTAGTTTTTGTATACATGTATGTTTTTTACTTTTGACCAATTACTATATATTATCGTGACTCCAACTCTTGAGGAAATGGAGAACCTTAAATATTTTTCTAAATCGAAACAATAAATGGAATGGCTTGTTTAAGGCATATCTATATTTAGTTCCACAACCTTGGCCATAATTTTATTTTTTTAAATTTAAATTCCAAATCAGACCTCTTTTTGGCTCACGATATAAGTTTTGGTCTATTTTAAAATTTATCCCAATTTTAGTTACTATAATTGTTGTTATTTATTTGTTTTCATTGATGAATCTTTGTAAATTATTGTAATTTATTGAATTGTTGTTATTAAAATCATGTTATAATTTTAGGATAGTATATTGTCAAGTTCATTAATTATATGAATAATAATTTTGTGTCAAGCTTATTTGTACATGATTATAATTTGTGATAATGATAATGAACGTTACCCATAAAGGTTCTGCATAATTTGGGATTATCAAGTATGTTTATTTGGTACAATTAAGTATTCTTAATAGGTTTTAGAATTTATTGGTATAAAATATAAATTATGTTTTTAAAAATGTTAAATATGTACTAAAAAACTATGTCCAAAACACATCTTTAACTTCAATCCAAACTTCATCGAATCAATTTTTCCAACAAAAAATCAAAATAAAAAATCTAGGGTCGCTAGCTTCTTTTCATTTTTTTCTAATTCATTCTTCTTTGCCTAGCAAGTGTTTCTAGATTCCAATATATGTTTCTTTTCTGATTTGTCCTTGATTAACAATTTGTTTCAATCATACTTCTATTATTATTTAATTGGGCCAAAAAATCCTTATTTGAAATAAAATTTAACAAAAATAAACTAGAGACTAATAACAGTATATTTAGAGCTACACGGATATATAAAGAACATATTTGATCAAATTTAATTCCTAATTATAATTATGCAATACATAATTAGGAGTAATTAATCAGAATTAGTGTCAAACAAAAATTGTGTAATGTGAATTTTCCCTTGTTCCATCCTTTTGTGCTGCCACCTTAACTTTCTGAGCCATGGAGGCATATGTTTGTTTTTCATGATGATTGATTTCAACTTGATATTCTCCATGAAAAAGTGAAGTTTCAAAAATGCCATTTTCATTAGTAGTACCAGAAAAACCTTGATGACTCCATTCTTTAATAATCTTGTCAACAATATCTCCAGTAGGCAAATTCTTGAAATTGTTATCAGTCAAACACATTCTGTAACACCCTTTAGGACCCCATGGTGCCCATATCATTATTCCTTTCACTCCTGGATGTGCATGAACCTCCCTTATGATCTCTTCCAAATATACCTCCTGTCCAATTTGAAAGTTCGCCAGGTTAATTAATTTCACGTATAGTTACTGAATTATTATTATTATTATGTTGAAATAACTTAAATTAGATATATGTATAATCAGTATATAATATATGTATATCAGCTTGGAAAAGTAAATAGTGAATTTAATCCGCTATTTATGTAAAAGACTTGAAGATTACCTGATTGGTGGTGTTTGCAACATCTAACTCAGTGATCCAAATTGGCAATCCAGCTGAAGCAAGCATATCAAGAGAAGATCTTATATAAGGTAAATTTGGTTTGACAAAATGCCCCTGCACCCCAATTCCCAACGGCCCATTATAACCGTGGGATCGAAGATCTCGAATTTTTTCCAAGTACTTTGCTGGATTTGAAGTTCCATCAAACTCATGTTCAATTGTATTGAAATCATTCAAGAATGGAATTGCCTTGCTATCGATTTCATTAGCCTTCTTGTAATAAATAGCAGACGCATTTTTTCCGAGTATATTCTCTAAAAACGAAAAGTGGACGTTTTCGTTCACAACATCCCAGTGAATAAGTTGGCCTAGGTATTGATTCATCACCGAATTGATCCTTTTGGATGCAGCTGAAGAGAGTTGTGCTGGTGAAAGAGAACGCGTCCACGAGGGCATGTTCTGGGGGTTGTTCCAGAAAATGTTGTGGCCACGGACTTGAATGTTATGTTTTTGGACAAAACTGAGCATGGCATCCGCCATGTTGTAGTCCTGTTTGCCCTGGATTTTCTCATTGGCATACCATTTCATTTCATTCTCGAAAACTGTGTACTTGAATCGTGATGTAAACCAATCTTGATAGGCTTTGTTGTTGAGGATATGTTGGCTTATTGCATTGCCAAATGGGAAATTGTTCCTTTGTTGTGCCAGGGAGACCGTTGCGTTTGGTAATGGTTGGCCTTGAGAATCCACTGCTTGGATTTTCACTTTAGCTTTACGTACCTGCAACATATTAGTAGCTATTTTTTTATTACATATACAAAGTTTGGACAAAAGTTATTGAATTCACGTGAATTCATCAGTTCTAAGCTAGGTCCATCCCAGAGTAAATGTGTTAATTGAGCATTTAATTTCAATTCAACACGGTCTCGTACATGTAAAATTCTACTCTAGTCATTTACCTTCTCTGTACTTTGATGTTGATGAAATTTCCATTCCTCTTGGGAAAATGGTTTTACTGATATACTATCTGCCCATAACTCAATATACAATAATAAACTTGATTACATGAATATCGTTAATTACTTATTCTCCAGCTTTTCTTTTTTCCTTTTCCCAGACCAATAATGCGGAAATTGACATATGGATAGACAGTATTTCAGTACAATCATTTAGCCAAGAAGAGTGGACATCTCATCAAACTCAAACCATTGAAAAGGTACAAAATACAACTTTGAAAAATTTGTTACTCTTATGGTTTCCTCTCTCTATATACAGAATCTAGACAAAAGTTATTGAGTTCATGTGAATTCATGACTTCTAAGCTAGATCCAACCCAGAGTAAATATGTTGATCAAGCATTTAATTTCAATTTGGCACGGTCTCATACATGTAAAATTTTACTCAAGTCATTTACCTTCTCTGTACTTTGATGTTGATGAAATTTCCATTCCTCTTGGGAAAAAGGTTTTACTGATATGCTATCTGCCCATAACTCAATAGCGGTATTGTTGACCTAGAAATAGATACAAGTGAAAATAATAAAACAAAAGTGGAATTAGTATAACTAGGAAATATGTATCATACATAACTTGTTCAACAATTTATACAAGTTTGGGGGCATAGGATGTTAACTGAGGTCGGTTAAAGAGTACATTTATGTATTATGTCTATATTTTAATATAAAAGGTAAAACAACTTACCTCAAGATATAAGTCCACATGAGCTGAAGTAGTTAGTATTAAGCCACCTTTTAGCATAGACCAGCAGCCAGAACGAGCAATAGCCCATCCAGTACGTTGAATTCCAAATGGTCCTCTGAATGCTAGAGCCACATGAGCATCTATAATTCCATCTCCATGGCTCACTTGCACCCAAGCTGCAAATTATACGAGTGTCAATTGGGTGGGTTAAAATTAATTGAGTAAGTAAAAAATTAAATCGTAGTACCTGAAGTGACGTAGTAAGTATCTTTTTTCAAGAAATATTTTTGGGTAAGACCATGAAGGGGTCCATTTCTGTTAGTAGCCACAATGAAAGTGTTATTTGTATTCTTGGACATCCTAGTGGCCATATTTGCAAATCCAGATTTTCTCCAGCCATTGAGTCCCTCATTGAAGTTTGGATTCACAACTATTCCTCCATTGTATTGAGCACTAAGGGGATCTGCCAAACACTGGAAGCATATGCATGGTAATTTTGTATTAATATTTGTAAAACACCATCAAGCGAGTTACCTACCTATTACAACAATTTTATTTTTTTTGGTGTCAATATTATTACAACACGTTAAATTACACTAACATAGTGTATGCAATTTGTAATCGTATATAGAAAATCTGGAATTCAAATCTTCCAGGTTCATAATTAAAATATTAGTAGTATATAAAGATTGCATAGGGTACTGGGGAAGCGTTTTACCTCAGATGTGAAACTATAATCGTAGTCTTCACCATAAACTTCAACCCCTACAAAAAAGAGAGAGCTGATATTCATATAAAAGGTTTTTAATAATGTTTCACTATATAAAATAGGCTAGGATTAATAACAAACCTGAATAACAAACAAGAAAATAAATCACTAGCCAAGGTAGAAAAAATTCCATCTTCACAGTTTCCATGGCGAAGAATTCACTGTTTCGATCACAACAATGCTAATGTATACATGCGATTTTTTTAAAAAAAATGTACGGATTATTATTTCGAGTTGTGGGACTAAGCTATGATCAATGCATGCATATTTATAGGGAAAACCTGCAAAGTTTGGTACGTATTAAATTAATAATTGGTAAAAATTATTTAGTACAGCTAGCTAATTGTATCATTAGTACGTAAAGATTCCAAGTCAATATTATGTTTGACACGAATTAAAGAATTTCAAGACGACGTTCAATTCTTCTGCCAAATTCAAATATTAGAGTAATTGACTGACAATTTTTTTTCAATTCAAAACGATTAGGTGTATTGCGCCGGTTCTTTTGAGTAATATATTTGTGTTAATGATTCTTAATTACTTGTGGAAATTAAGGAAATAAACAAAACTTGTCCATTGTTTGTGCCACATGCATGCGAATGCGGTCCATCTTGGACATATAATTAAATTAATTATATGTGAAAACACGGTTAACCTTCAACTTGAATTTGATAGTAAATGTCATTGTCTAGCTTTTACTATTTTGGCCAGAAAATTAAAAAAACTATAACATTTTTTTAATTTTAAAATAAACTGATCTTTTTTCCATTTTTTAGTTAAAAAGTATTAAAGTTAAACGGGTAAAAATGTTTTAAAATGTAAAATAACATATACAAAATATCATTCTGGCCAAATTTTCTAGCCAAAAAGATTTTTCCTTTAAACTCTACACTAATAACATAATAATGGAGTAATTTAAAAGTTATTCGATGGTAGGAGGTAGCATGTGTCGGGTAAAACGAGGTGCATGCAAGTTGGTCTGACCATCATAAAAATAACAATAACATCAGGTTTTAATGCAATTTTAGGTGTTGTTTTAATTTTCTACATAGTTTAATACATTTTCCCTCTTTATAATTATTTATAAATAATCTTTGAATTTAAGTTATATACACTATTTATATATAAATACACTAACAGATCATCTTTACCTATTGTAAAACATAAACATATCTTAGTTTTAAGATTACAAATTAAATCTGGTATTTTACCATTCTAATGGAAGTATTTGAGTGACAACACTTTGGAAGTTCCTTTGAGTCCGCTTATAGTAAGCTGCCAGGAAATTTTGCCTTAACTTGCATTCATGTGGATTTTGACAAATGAACATAAAAAATACGACTTTGGGTTTTGTCCCTTTTTTTTCTTTTGAACAATTCTTTTTCCCTTATATTATCCCTTATAAAGTGTAGTTTTAACTCATAACACAAATTAAATGGATAGCCTGGAGTATGACTTGTTTTTCAATTCAACTTTGTCTAATACATCTTTACTATCAAACATTGAGGATTTATTGATCACTTATTTATTAAATTAATTGATTTTTCATGAGTGTGTGCAGTCTATTTTTATACTGATTTTAATACGTCAATAATTAATAATCACTAAATATTTGGAAAATGTTTATTCATCGCATTCAAAGTGGAATACATATTGTCTTTATAAATTATTTTGAGGGATAAAATTGTTTGTTTAAAGCAATGACGAGAAATGAATCATTAAGCATAGTTTTGGACCTTTGTTACCGGGAAATAAGTACGGGGGAGAATTCCGTGAAACTCAAAAACTTAAGTGTGCAAAGTATGATTTCAAAAACTAAAGAGGTGGCGCGTAAAATATTTATCAAATTGGGACAAAATCAAAAGCCGCGGTCTTTCCCCTTTTAGTTGAAAACTTCATCTTCTTGCGGAAGCAAATCAATCAATGGCGAAGAGCGAAACTTCAGTAGGGAGCGAAGATCCTTCTTCTTCTCGCCCATGGGAATCTTATCACACAGTCTTTACCAATGCCAAAGCAGGTAAATTTTTACTTTTTAGTGTTTTTTTTTTTGAAAATTTAGGTATTTCCAATTGTTTTTATTACAATTAATTGCTTCAATCATCTGTTTTAAGTGTAAATCATCAGTTTATTATGAAATTGTTCCCAATAGATTGAATGTATAATGAGTTGATTAGTTGACCTAGCTTGTTTAAATTGGTTTCGGATCAATTTTTCTCAAAGTTTAAATTGTTGTTCTGTATGAGATTTTAGTGATTGATGATCGAAATTGTAGGAATGGAGGGGGTGGATAAGGAAAAAGTACAGAGGATAGTGTATGAAATGAGTAAAGGGTCCAAGTATTTTGAGAATGAGGAAAAGAAGGAAGCTTATACGAAGCAGAAAATCGAGAACATGCGTATTCAGTACTCCAAACTCACTGCACAAGATATATCTCATCATCAGAAGGTACTTTTATTCAATGACAATTAGGAAAATGGTTATGTTTCAAATGTGTCATGTCAGGAACCTAAGTGCCTATTTCTTTCTATCCGTGTTCTCTGCATACATGAATTGATGTGTTTGTGGATGACCGAGTGTTTTTGATTGAGTATTTATGATAATAAAACGTTGTGCTCATTTGTGATGCGTGTAAGGATTTTTTTTTTAAAGTCTAGGATCAGTTGGCTGCTGCTATATGAGGATATACTAAGTGTGCAATTATGAGTTCCAACTGTCAGAAGAACAAATTCAATTAGTTTTCTGGTCAGTTGGGATCTGAGATGGACTGGGGTGGGAATAGAGGTGGATCCAGGATTTAAATTGTTATGGGTTCAACTTTTAAGATTTTTACTATTGAATTCTTTGTATTGTTAAAATTATGGGTTCAAATCTAATATAAACCCGTAGCCGTAAGCTATATCTGCCTATGGTTCTCTGTTGTGATTCAGGGTGGCTTTAACTGCATAACCAAACTTTTGATCAACTTTTATATATCAAGTTAGCTTCTTTCCTTTTCTTTTCCAGATTGCTGACAAAAGGATTTTAGAGCTAGAAGCCACACGTGATTTGTCAAGGATCTGGCTACATGTGGATATGGATGCTTTTTATGCAGCTGTTGAAACCTTGTGTAATCCTTCATTGAAAGGCAGGCCAATGGCTGTTGGCAGCATGTCCATGCTTTCCACAGCGAACTATGAGGTTTGACTTTCCGATTAATCAGAGATGCTTTCTGCACAAATGTTGCTGGTGGATATTCATGTTTAGCTCATTTATAATTTAGCTTTCAGATTCCTATGTATTTTCCTTTTCCCTTATTCTGAATAACATGTACTTATGCTTTATAGGCCCGGAAATTTGGTGTTCGAGCTGCAATGCCTGGATTCATTGCACGTAAACTATGTCCGGAGTTGTTATTTGTCCCTGTAGACTTTCAGAAATATAATCATTACAGCAACTTAACAAGAAAAGGTTTTATACTGTACTTCTATGGACTTGGTAGTTTTTGATTGATATGTGCCTAATTATTTGGATTGTTAATCCATCTTCTCATAGTTTTTCAGAAATATGATCCGAACTTTTTGGCTGCCAGCTTGGATGAGGCATACCTAGATATTACTAGTGTTTGCAAAGAGAGGGGCATTACGAGTGGAGAAGTAAGTCTACATTAGATTCTTTTCCATCAGAATTTCCTCCCAATCTTATCTATCCTTGTTTTTTCTTTCCTTTGACTTTGTTTGTGTCTTGTGATCCTCCATTTTTTGGTTGTTCCACTCCTTTAAGGTAGCTGAAGAGCTTAGAGAAAGTGTACACCTTGAGACAGGTCTAACGTGTAGTGCGGGAGTTGCACCAAACCGCTTACTTGCTAAGGTATTGAAAATGAAAATAATTTCTTTTAGTTCTTTGTCCTCTTATGAAATGCATATGCGCTTTCTACATAGATTTTTTTTTGAGGCGTCTACAGGATGCATTAGTTTCTGCATTGAAGCTAGGAGGATTATCCAAACTCATTTCTAGGTATGCCTCACCAAACTAGGGAAAGATTGCATCATAATTTTGGAAATTCATGATAGAAGATGGATTGGAAACCCAACTAAATAGGCACATTCAGCTATTCACACTTTTTTGTATCAAAATGAAGATGTGGATTTTCGAATAATAGCTTCTTTATTCCGTCTCACAGGTTTGTTCAGATATCAACAAACCCAATGGCCAGTTTGTTTTGCCAAATGATCGAAGTGCTGTTGTGACATTTATTTCTTCACTTCCAATAAGGAAGGTACGGAGAGTAGCTGTTATGTTTAGGCTCTCTGGTTTGTGAAGTATCTTCATTCAAATTGGGCAGTTCACTTTTGCTTTTACATTTTAGGATGTAGGTCTATAATCTGACATTCAGGAAACTGTGTACAGATTGGGGGCATTGGTAAGGTCACTGAACGTATCTTAAAGGATGTCTTTGGAATAGCAACCTGTGAGGAGATGCTGCAAAAGAGTAGTTTCCTTTGTGGCCTGTTTTCTCGTTCTTCAGCAGGTTTGTTTATGATATAATCGATCTCTTTTATTTCCCCTTAATCTGACAAGAACACACCCTAGAAAGTTCAAGCTCGATTTGAGCTTGTATAATATGATGTTCTGTTGTGTTTGAGAGGTCTTCTTCAAATTTGATCAACTGATGTGGTCACTGCTTGTGTCCTGAATTTTCCCATTGATGGATTCTTCTGTATATTGACAACATATCAGTTGCCTTTTTGTTGCAGACTTTTTCCTTTCCGTCGGTCTAGGACTTGGTGGAACCGATACTCCTCAATATAGGACGAGAAAGAGTATAAGTAATGAAAGAACATTTTCAGCCACTGAAGATGAAGCTTTGCTTTTTCAAAAATTAGGTAAGGTTTTAGTTACTGCCAGGGTTTCTGATTGCATGACCAATGCATATGTCCTCCCTTCCCCCCCTTAGATTTTGAGTATGGAGAAATTTTCCTTCTGCTTGAAGCCCAGAAATAATTTACTCTGAAACCAAGTTAATTTTGTCAACTTTGGCTTGCAGTTGATCTATCAGAGATGCTTTCTGCTGATATGAAAAAGGAAGGTCTTTTTGGGCGAACATTGACACTAAAACTGAAAACTGCATCCTTTGAGGTACTTCCAACATTTTGCTTTAGTGACTTTTACTACATAGATTTAGGTTATTTCTATATAAAATTAGCTGATATAGTCAAGGTCTCCAGGTTCGATCTCGAGCGGTGACTTTGCCAAGTTACATAAGTTCAAGCGAGGAAATCTTGAAACATGCTTCAAAGCTGCTTAAGGCCGAATTTCCTGTTTCTTTGAGGCTCATGGGTGGGTACTTTAACATTGTTCAGTTCCTTTTAGAAAATATGGTTGTCTTGTGTGGTTTCCCTTCTCTATATTGCTCAGTGCTATAAATAAGCTGTTACTGTTTTTTTTGTGTGGGAATATTATGATGATTGTGTTCGTGGAGAAAAGCATAAAAAATGTGCCTCAAAATATTTAAATTCACATGTGGCTGAAATCATCCAAAAATTTGGTGAAGTATCTGTAATGATTTGTATACCACAATACACTTCAAATTTTTTTAATTTTTTTTTTTAAAAAAAGATTATAAGCTGTTGATAAAATATTGGTCTGCTTTTACATCTTAGGGGAGTCATCTTCTTTCCTTCTGCTTAATTACTGCAGATGGCGAGTGAAAGGGGGGACTTGGAATTTGAAGTGTTAATATTTTTATTTGGTTTGAAAAATTCATGATATCAATTGAAATTTGGTAGCATTGTGTAGCTTGAAGTTTGTAAAATTTATTTTCTCCTAATCTTTCTGAGGCTGCTATTGGATTGAAGGAGAGGTTACTGCTACTAATGAATAAAACATTCGAAAGCCTATAATTTCTCTGAAGAAGGTTAACATTAACAGGCAGCGCAAAAGAAGAAGCAAATATAGAGAACAATTCATAGATTTTATTAGTTCCTTAGGCTATTTGGATTTGCTGTTTTATAGGTCTTATTTTGATTTATATGAGGGGACTGATTTTGCCCTCTTTTACAACAGTGGAGGGGTTTTAAATTTCTATCATTTTGCTTCTATCAGGTTTTGATGCTGTCCCACTCACTTGCCACCATGTTTCTGTAGCTTTTAATTTCATTCATTGGTTAATTATGGATTTATGAATGTGCTTTGGCGGCATCAAAAGGCCCAAAACAGAATTCCACACCATTAATATTATTGTCTTCCCTGAGCTGGAAATGACATGTTCAGCTGTTGCCAATACCTATTTTGATGTTGTGTTATTTGACTGCAAATTTCCAGCATGAGGCATTTTGACTCAGCAGTTGAATTTTCTTTCAGGACTTCGAATGTCTCATTTCAGTGAAGACAAGAATGGGATTCCACTTGATCCTACACAAAAAACTCTTTCTAATTTCATTCTTTCTGGAGCTGCTTCTGGAGTAAGGACAAGCGATTACAGGCCCTTGGTCTCAGATGTTTGTGATAATACTTTCTCAGTTGATGAGAATTGTTGTCCTACCTACTGCGCTGAGACATCTTGTGATCTGCGTGACTCTTCAAAGGAAAGCAAGGCATCAGATTCTACTTACAGTTGCCATGTAATAGGGAACATTAATGAAGAATTGAATGAAACTGTTGTACCTCAAAGTAGTGAACCTCAACCTAAGGTATATGTTTTTCTCACTAAAAAGCTAAAGTGCAACTATATGACCAAAGAAAGTTTAATGATTCAAATACTGAGCTTTCTAATTGTCAACATGTCATTGTATTCAGGTTCATGAACCAACCGATACTGATCATACAATAAAGTCTGATAAGGTCGATTCTTATATGGGACAATTGGAGGCAAGCAGCTGTGATAGATGGGAAATTGGTGTTAACTGCACGAATGATGAAGCAGGGTCTGTATCAGATCAGAAGCAATTATTTCTTTGGGTGGACGACTACAAATGCCCTATTTGTGGCATTGAAATGCCTCCAAGTTTCATTGAAGAAAGGCAAGAACATTCTGATTTTCATCTTGCTGAAAAGCTGCAAGGTGAAGAATCAGGTAACCACCACAGAAGTTTTCTGCCACAACAGAGGTACCTTCTACTTCATGGTGTTGATGATACATGGATATATTTCCTCATCTAGTTAAATGCCATTGTACCAAGTAGTTCTTTTCCTCTCTTTTTTTCCCTTTGGCTTCTCAGTATTGGTGGTGTCATCTTATATTTTCTAATTTTTTGTTAGGGCTGCCCAGAGAGGCCATACTGGAAGCAGCAGTCGGCAGAAAAAGAAACAGAAATCATCTCCAACTGCTAGCAAATATGTACCAATTGACGCATTCTTTGTTAAAACAAACCAGAATTTTTGAAAGGCATAACATAGTGAAAATCTATTTATTCAGAAGATAATACAGTAATAATTTTTTCTTTATCCAGTGTGGGGAGGGTGCGGTCTATTTCTTTATCCATGTATTCTTTGTATATAACTGTGTAATTGTATATTGTAAAACGCTGCAACAAGTGTAATGGTTAACTTCCAACTTTGTTTCGATGGTTGTTACTTAGTGTATTGTTACTTTAAATACAATGTTTTGATTGTTAATTTTTATCGTATCATATTGTTTAATTTTTTGTTATGTGAAATTATTCCGGGAAAAAACTAAATAATTATCATGTCCAAATGACCTTTTATCATTTGTAACTACCTTTTTGTGTAATAACTCTACCTTGTTGTAAAATTGTACTATATTCTTTAGATTGCTGGTGCTCATAATTATGAAATGATGGAAAATTATTATGAAATGACGAAAAATAATACTATAATCTATATAATATTGTATCATTGTATGTATTAGAACAAGATGTTCAGCTTCGGAAGGTGTTCATTGTTTTTTATTAAATGAACAATTAGTTGGGATATATATATTTTTTTTATGATGCATATATGATTGGTAAAAGTTCATTTATAGTTTATCGTATTATGATTATTTGGAAGACATGAGTCCACATGCTAGATATATGAATGAACAATTATGTGTTCGATAAACTGCAAAGATAGCAGTGTTCAAAGTTGAAATAAAGAGAGTAAAAATGTGTACTTTGTGAGGCATTCCACAATTTCATATCCTCTAATTTTCAAAACAATGAGTTCATATCCTTGCACAAAATGCCCAATTTCTATCAAAAACTCCACAACTCAATACCCTCATCCAAGAACACCAACATCTACAAAACAGAAAATTTCTTATCCTAAATCCCTCATCTCTCAAATTTCACTCTCCGGTAGTTCATCTCAGAGTCACCAAAAAATAAGAACAAACAGTGTAAATTCTGAGGATAGCTTTCCGACCATGTCAGAAATCATGGAAGCATCGAGATCCCAAAATCTTGATCTTCAGCTGAAAACATTAGGACCCTTTTTCAGAATCACAGCAAAGAGCTTAAAAACCCAAAGAGACCTTGGAAAAGCTGAGGGTTTGATAAGGGTTTGGTTTCAAGGTAAAATTCTACATTTAGACTCAATCAGACTTCAGAGAGAAACTTTGGGGATGGAAAAATCAATATTTGGGATTGGATTGTTTATTGGAGCAGTCGCAATTAGGCATGGTTATGACTCTGGTTGTACAAAAGCTGAATTGCTCGCCATTTATGATACTGAGCTTTACCACACAAAGGTTATTCACCAATTGTTTACCCTGTTTTTGGATTGCAAAATTACCAATTTTCTTTCTCTTATTATTGTTAATTGGAACTCTGACTCTTGTAACCTCCTTAACCTTATTCATTACGTCAACCTTCAACAAGAGGAAAATGAGAGTTATTCCCCTTTTTCACTTAGCTACCAAAGCCTTTTGTCTGAGACACAGTTCAAATATGTAACATGCCCTCTAAACTCACACATGATGTATTGCGCTCTTATCCACCAGACAATAGGCTTTTCTACTGCATTATCTGAAGCATTCACACCTACTGATTTTTACTTTCTAATTCAAGTAGAAGAGTCGATTCTGATAACAAATTGGACGTTTCTCTTTGATTGTAACAGCTTGTGAAATTCTACACAAGGATTGGCTTCAAGACAGTTCACCAAGTTAATGGTGAATCACTTGGAGATGTTGGTCACATGTTAGTCTGGGGAGGCGTTGGAACTCGAATGGATGCAGAAATTGAAGATCTTCTAGTAAAATGGTGCACCAGATTTAAACCAAAGAGTTGATTTTACTTCAACCGTTCAACGAGCTCTAACTTTATCTATAGTAACTCAATTGATTGGTTACCTATGTTAATATACTTTAGATTGACATGTTATGCTACCAGATAAACTTTTATATGGTTAATATCATATAGGTTGGTTTTTTTTTCTTCTTCCCACTATCCGTGTTTGAATTTGATTTTGGAAATAGTTTTTGAAATAATTGATTTTGAGTTTGGTTTTCAAAGAACATCTTGGTAAACAAGTACTTAAGTTCATCTACCATCATTTTATTTAAGATTTTATATAAATAATAAGTATCTACTAACAATATAAAGAATTATTTCACTTCAATATGTTCTAAGTATGTTGCATCAAGTTGCTTGTCTGATTTTGTATCTTACTAATCTCATTTAGTATAAGACAATTAATTATAATTATCTTGACCAGATAGTATTAAAAAAAAAAAAACCATCTAGCATACCTTAAAATAGTGAAACTTATTTTCAGTAACCTCTTGTAAGTTGTAAGACGGTATAATTTTTGGCCTTGTTAACAAACTTTAATAATTTTAGACGCACGCTAGAAAATTTCTCCCCCTTATCCTTCTTTTAATAAATTAAAATTATGGGCACACAATTACAATTAAAAAGCAATAAAATATGTAATGTAGAGAGTTAAAGATTCATTGCCTATCACCATTATTGTATTTGTTTAGCTTTAAAAAATCTTATTGAAAAAGACAAAATGAGTGTTGATGTTTGAAGGTTTATGTTAAATCTAACTACTGTAAATTGTTGGGATAATATTAGAAGATCACGTATTAAATTTGGAGTTATTTGTTGGACTAATTTTAAAGCAAAATCTGGCGATTAGTCAAGATTTATCTGGAAATTTTGGCGATTCTTGATGCCAAAAAAAGTTGTCCATTAATTTTAAATTCCGACGAATCGTTAAAATTTTACGTGATTCATGTTGGTTATAAATTTATTTTTGCAAATATTTTCTTAAAGAGGTTATAAAGGAAAATTGTATGAAATAACAAACTATTAATTCAAATTAAATGTTATAGTCATAGTTTCTTTTATTTGTAATTCGCAGCAAACATTCCATGTTTTTTGCCATCCCATTTGTATACCGAAATATACAAATGCAGGACCCATTTGTATATCGAAATATACAAATGCAGGACCTATTTGTATACCAAAATATACAAATGCAGGACCCATTTGTATATCGAAATATACAAATAAACCCAAATACATATTTTTTATGTATATGTATACCGAAATATACAGATTAATAGCCATAGCAAACATAAAGTTTGCTATGAAGCGCAATTATACAAACTATAACTATAGCATACAAATATGATTTTTATGTTTGCTAAACCTAAAATTTACTCTAGAGCAACTTTCACATATAGCAAACACAAAAATCATATTTGTATGTTATAACTATAGTTTGCATAATTGCGCTCCATAGCAAACATAAATATGTATATTTCGTTATACATATACAAAAGAAAGCAGTTGCATATAATCTGTTTCTGTTTTTGTTTCGGTATACATATACAAAAAATCAACTGTATAATTTGTGTTTGTATAAAGCGAGAAAAAGAGAAAGGCAAAAGAGAAATGGGCAGGAGAATATTTGTATTGTATAATTATAAGTGCATAGGATGAAGATATATGTATTTGCATGTGTATATACAATTTTCTTTCGCTTTATACAAACAGAAACATAATTTATACATTTTTATTTGTATATGCGATAGAGGTGAGGCAAAGACTGGCGAGTGAGATCTTGGAGAGGGAACGAAAATATATGTATAAATACAATTTTCTCTCGCTTTATACAAACACAAAAACATTTATACATTTGCGTTTGTATAAAAAGCGAGAGAGGCGAGAGAGAGAACAAGAGTGGCGAGCGAGATTCACCAGGAGAGAGGCAAAATAACAACAGTTTACTTGGGGTACAATTAAATCAAACTATGTTTATAACATTTAATTTGAATTAATAATTTGTTATTATATACAATTTTCTGAAAAATAAATGGTGACATTGAAAGAGCATATTTTGCGCAAGTCTTAAGGCCCATTAATATTGGGCCCTCACTGTATCCTCGACCCGAATATCTGGTTTTACATAAACTTCCATTGTAGGCTGTCATCACCATTTATGAGTCCCAGCTTTATCCAAGTTATCGTCTCTGTTCAAGATTTACCCTAATGTCGTCTCGTCGAGAGGGTCGTGATTCCGACTCGAAATGTCACCGTTCTCGGTTCGATCAAGAACCCAGGTAATCGATTTCTCTCTACATTATATGTATTTTCTTGGAAAAATTGGGAACTCTCTACTTGCAAATAGAGATGAATTTTAATATCTTTCGAATGATTTAGGGTTAGAATAAAATTAATTATTAGAAGAGCTGAGGTAAAAGAAACAGTTGGCGGGACTTTGTAATCTTGAAGTTTTAGGATTTCCTGGGTCTATGAAGTTTTCTCTTTTTCTTTTGTTTATCAGCGTTAAAATGAAAATTAGTTACGTGAAAGGGGGGTTTCTGTTGGACTTACTACTAGTAGTCTGAGAGGAGGAAAAATAGTGGGGTGAGAAAAAAGAACCATTTGGTCTTCAAGATTTTAATCTTTTTTGACATAAGTGAATGGGTTCTTATATGAAAAATACTGGAGTAAGAGAAGAAACCATTTTTGGTTTTGAGAGTTAAAGATTTGTGTCTTCAACTGCTTCACAACTGGAAACAGTAAATTGTGTCTTGAGAAATTGGAATTCTGTTTATTGCACACCTTGAGCTTCATTTGGAATAACTCAATTTGTAAATGATGTGGATGTGCTAATATTCTGTATCATGTTTGTTCTTTCTAGTCCAAAGAGATCAAGGAAACACAGTAGACAAGAAACTGAGAGGCCACCTACCACACACAATTTAGATAGTGGAAACAATTCAGAACGGGATTTAAAACACCATCGCCGTCTGCAAGATGCTGTGCCTCTTGATGCTCCGTCAGTGCAAGATTCGAAGTCAGAAAGAACTCCAAGGAAACCATCTGAGAACGTAGCAGCTAAAGATGATGGGATCAAAGATTCTTCTGATCCCAATGAAGGATCTCGCCATCGATCATCCAAACACTCTACAAATCCATCAGTAGTACCTCGTTCTACCTCATTTTTTCAGGTTTCTGTGTTGTGTATACTAACTTCATTTTCTTCTTGTGTCAGTTTGTGTTAGCTTATGCTTTTGATTACTGGTGTGGTAGAATGTTGATGACCTGGCTCTTTGGAGGAGTTTGTTTCTACTTTATTGAAGCATGCGAATATACTTGATGATAGTTCCTTTATTCATTCATGTGTACAATTAGGATAACATGACTGTTAATTAGTGGAGAGGGATGGGAATGGAATTCAACTCAGCAAAAGAACAAATGAAACAAATTCTATTAAATTTGTAGTTTGAGCAGCTATTTTCAATTTGAATTGACTGTCTAGATATTTTGGTTTGCTACACTTGAACATCTAAAGAATAATGTTGCTTCATTCCTTTCCTCCCTGTACTTTCTTATTACTGGGCTTCAATGTACTTATTTTTAAAAAAGAATAATGTTGCTCGATATTTGAATAAATTTAGGTTCTAATTGTCAGAAAATGAATAAATAAATTTCAGATTTTGAATTTCAGTAGACGAGAATAGATTTTCCACGGACAAGTGCATTGATTTAAGTTAATCTGCTTTTCTTATATTGTGGCTGATGTTGTGGGATTCTTGTTCAGCCCGTTGACTTCCAAGTAGACCCATGTATATAACCATGTTAGACTTGCCTGTGCATATCTTATAACAGCACGATGAGCGTGGTAGTGCTGGGCAAGTTGATCGAAGCTTCAGGCATAAGGCAGCAACTGGTGAGTTTCCACATATTATTCTTGCATTTTGATGAGTAACCTTCCATTTTTCTTTCCTGAGGAGCAAAAGCAAGGATTAGACCATTGTATGACCTCTAACTTGACTTGACCTGTGATCGGAATCTTTCTGTCTGTAATGAGAGAACCTTCCTTTTCTTTGCTTGGTGCCCAGGCCAACTTGTTATTAGTACATTATCTAGTTTTTTTCCTTGCTAATGCTGGTTTATGGGCCAACTTGTGTGCACCTCAACTATGACACCGGGCACCTGCTACCTCCCACCAGCATGTAGGTACCATGTTATTCCTTAAGCAAGAGGACTCAAACCTCAGTCTCCAAGGTTCGCATCAACTTCATTGATTGTTAGGCTACACTTTTGGGTGCAAGTATGTTAGATACTTATTCTACTATAAGCATATGATGCTCTTAAGTTTTGAAAAGTAGAAAATGCTTGAGAGCATAGTCAGCTAAACATTTCTGGAGAAGAAAATTGTATTTCCTACCTGCATATTATGACCTGTGTATTTAGTGTTGAAGATTTAATTACTATCTTTTGTTTCCCCCTGAAGAGCGAGGATGGTGGAAAGATGCAAAAGAGACGTCGAACAGAGCCACAACAAATGATAAGCAGATGAATGATGAGAAGAGCAAAGTTTCAGGCAGGCAAAATGATGTTTGGCGCCATGACAGGTACTTTGAAGTAAAGGAAGATCCTAAACCACCTGTGAAGAAAAGGTCATTTAGGGAGGAAAAGATCCCAGTGGATACTGAGAAAGTTGAGAAAGCTGCAATGGAGCTTGTTAAGCCTAATCCTTCTCACCCTGAAGTAGATGGCGAAAGAAAGAATGAAAGAACTGACCACATGTCACGCCATCCTGGTAGATATGAGAGACCATTTACTGGTGAGAGGTATGCAAACAGGGGTGAAACATGGAGGGGCAAATTTCCATCAAGAGACAGGTACCATGGCAATAGTGATCACAGGGGGAGAGACAGATTCAGTTCAAGGCAAGGACCTAATCCAAGTAAGGTGGTTGAAAAGTGGAAACACGATCTTTATGATGAGGCAAACAAGAATCCTACTCCGAAGAATGAAGAAGATCAAATAGCAAAAATTGAAGCACTATTGTCTTCATAGGTCTTGCAGTAAAGTGAGTGGTAGTTCCTGTTTCTTTTGTTGGTTGAAAAAGGTAGGGGGGTCATTACTGATGATCAAAGTTATTGCTGTACAATCCTCTCAATTTTGATTTTAGGCAATGCTAATTTGTATCTGTTGCTTGGATTTGTGTTTGGGGGTACCCCTGGCGATGTGATTTTAGCTGTGGACTTGAAGAAAGCTTCTCACAAATGCTGTTAGTTGTGTGCTCTGTGAACATTTATAGTGTATTAGTGATGGGCACCAAGGTTTGACTTCAGCATGGACTTATGTTCATTTTTGGATTCTTCTGGAATTATTGAATTTATCTTTCGTAACAATGTCTGCCGCAAAATTGTATGCAACATCATCATCTTTATACTGAACTTTCCGTTCATGCCTAAATGACATGGGGAAATCATGTTGCATCTCTTTGAGCTTATTCTTGTACACATCGATGCCTCTTAAGTGCGATTTCTAATTTTAAAAAATATTACATATCCTATTTTGAAAAAAAGGAAAACAAAAACATTAGCTCATAATACATCTCCCTAGAGCCTGTGATGCTCCTTCATTCCTCCCTTGAGACCTTTCCACAAAAGCCTTCTGAAAAGTGAGATTCAACTTAAATACAACCTTAGATTGGCAGAGACTAACAGCAACTTGCTGCCAAGTAAGACTGAAAGCAATATAGATCCTGTAGATAGAGCTGCTAATCGTCTCTCCTTTTAACATAGAATTCTCTGAGGAAAAAAAGTTAACAAACCTTCAGAAATAAGTCAGACGGATAGTACTGTGTTCACGGTTACATTCTGTATGCATCAATATTGTACATGGGTTGCCCTATCGGGCCTTCTTTAAATAATACTGATCAAGATAACAAGAGAAATAGACTTCTTTTACAGCTGAATTTGGTTCACATTTCTGCAAACTAGTATCACTTGCAAATGTACTAAAGCCTGATCAAGTGGGGGCCTTGATTGAAAATTAGATCTAATTTAAGAACCTAGAACATAAAACATACCTATAACTCTACTGCCTACGAATATCCTCAATGTCTGTTAGAGGAGCTGCATTGCTGATAGAGCGTTTATCTGGTAGATTAACCACCAATTGACCACAGGCACCACTTATATCTTGACCCATTTCCTTGCGAACAGTTGTGCGAATATTATAGATATCCCTCAATATTTTCTGAAACCTGGTGACTTTCTGATTTGTACTGGTAATGAATTGACTTAATGATCCAATTGGATTAAAAGGTATGAGATTCACAACCTGTGGAAAAAAACCATATTTTGATGTCAATGCAAAACACACTTGCAAAATTCTCTGTGAGTAAAAGATGAAATGAACTGTTTAGATATAGGTCTTAGGATCGACATAGACTCTCTCTCTCTCTCCCTCCTCGTTTTTATCTTTTCCCTCCAAGTAAATGTTTTTTAGTTTGGAAACATCCAGGGATGCAACCTAAATGTGTTAAGAAGAAATTAACTCACATATGTACTCACAGCCCACATTTTTAGGGTGGGATGTACATGAACTGCTTAAAACTCACCACTTGAAATGCTTCTAGCAGTTTCCCAAGCTGATGGGCGTGCTGCTCCTCATCATTTACTCCATCAAGCATAATATATTCAATAAGGATCTTTTGCTGGCTACAAAGACGGGAAAAATTAAGATCTTTCAGCAACTTGACCAAATTGGTCATCATGGTCATTAAAGATAATTTATGTGCCTCAACTTATTCCACTCTTTCCATCTTAGAACTGTTCAAAAATGTATGATAGCATTCTATTGATATTTTAATTTATTGAACTTTCAAAAGTTTCAATAACTCAATATAATTATGATAGCATTCTATTGATATTTTAATTTATTGAACTTTCAAAAGTTTCAATAACTCAATATAATTAGGGCCCCATTTTGAGACATTTGGCTTTACAATGAGCTGCCAAATTTTAAATTTCCAATGAACTTTTCATTACTGCAATCCGAATAAAGTTTGAAGTTCAAAGTTACCCGAATATAAATAAAGAGACAAAAATTAAGCTTATGAAATTTGAAATACATAGGGTTAAAATCCCTATCTGATGGGCCTTAAATAAACTTAAACCTTGATTATCGACTTAACACTGATGCCATCTACCTGAGTTTCAACTATGATATTTGCTACCACCACTACTTATATAATACACAAGTTAATATCTTAATCTCCCTGCAAGTCAAATGGCATAATATAAAATGGGAAAGAGAGAGTGAATGCTATTGAAGTATAACAGGGCAATGGAAACACCTTTTCGTTTGATATTCTCGCAGTGCATTCATGAGTTTTTCCAAAGGAAAAGCTCTTGCTGCAGGCATTATCTGACAACGAATATCTTGCACCGGTGCATGCAAAGAGACTGCCAAGTTCAAATTTGGGACGTCATTGTGGAGCTTGTTAATGGCATGAATTATTCCAACCTACAAAAACATTTAACTGATTGTATTACTGTTCATGTGATCTATATAATAAAGTATGAAACTAAAGAGCTAATTATGTGAAAGTAGTCTCCTGGCATGAGAAAATTCATTACATAAAATACCACAAGTACATAAAAATGAGTGTGCATCAAGAAGTCAAGGTGAGCAACCATATAGCACATTGTAATATGAAAGAAACAGACATCAATAGGCCGCTCATACCGTTGAGACTGTAATTTTTCTAGGAGAGATCTGAAATGGAGATGCTGTCATGACTCGTATGGCATCCACCAGGGAAGAGTAGTTGTTCAACGGTTCCCCCATTCCCTGTGCATCAGTTGGATGATAATGCAACAAAATGAAGACTCAAGAATGAGTGGATGGAAACAAACCAAAAGAATAGAAGAAAATACTTAAAATGAAATAATAAAGTAGACAACAAGAGTGCATCCAAAAAATTTAATTACTTTGATAGATGAATTCAAATTAGAAAATCCTTCTAAAAGGAATAGAAGAACTTTAGCTATATCCTCAGTTTCCTGCTTGAAAGTTTGATACATCACATCTCTTTTCTCTCCAACAGATTCTCCCAAACTTCATTAGGGAATTTGCAACTCTGATGTATTATATTCTAGCTTACACCATTCTACCAAGAAACTTTACCTATTCCTTTTTTGTCCATCCGATAAATCCTAACCTACTTTCAGGAGAAATCTTTTCACCTCTGTCAATCCACATTGATTAATACAACTACTTTTCTTGGTACAAATTTAATGCAAGATCTTTTCAACTGCACTAGTCACATTTCAACAATTAGTTTATTCGCTTTTCTTAGTCCACAGAATAATCTACACAAGCATGTTACTCTTAAACTTGCTGTAGCAAAAAGTTGATCATTTTTTATCGAGATGGAGGAAGAAACTTGTACTTCAGCAATTTGGGAAATTACACAAACAAGTTCAAGAACCTCGACAGATTGTAACAAGTTTGAAACCTTTTTGGAGCTCAAAAGTCAACTGGTTAACAAACGAAACAATGAAAGGCCTAAAGAACATAGAACCACCTGCCTTCAAAATCCAGATCCACCACTGACTAGACAACAAATATCATGGAGAAAAGCAGCACTGTACAAAGGAAAAAACAATACCATGAAAACAACATTACGGATGGTTGATAAACGAGAGGCATGCACCAACTGTTCAACTATCTCTCCAGAAGACAGGTTATTTTTGAACCCCATGGTTCCTGTAGCACAGAATGTGCAGCCCATTTTGCATCCAACCTTTAAGAAAAGAGTGTCTGGTCAACATAAAACGTCTTTCAGATCAAAACATCAAATACTTAGGCATGCCATAGGGATAATTGGAAGGATTACACTGGGTAGGTTGTTGTTGTTATTGCCGAAAGGATAAAAAAAAGTTTGCAGCTAATATACAAGCAACTCAGCCTTTACTACATATAGGTTAATAAAATGACATACCTGAGAGGATACACACAAGGTTGATCTTGGTCCTCCTGGACGGGGCTTTCCATTTAATTTCCCCAAGCTGGAGTCATATCTCATAATCACAGACTCCACAAATGCTCCATTCTAGTATTTAAAATTGTCAATGAGATATGATTGTAAAGCAAGAAGTTCAGGTAGAGATACTATAAGCACCACCTTTTTTCTTAATATGTATATGCAATCAGAAACATTTAAAGCACATAAAAAGGGCACACCGACACCTCAAACCTCCTATTAGAACAATAACACAAAAAATTAGGAAACAATCAATCAAAATCTTAGCAATTTGTGAAGGATTTTGACTATGAATTTACCTGAAGCTTGATGAGGAGCTTGGTGGTGACTCCATCGTTTGACTCGAAGACAGAGTGGACAACAGAAGTTGAGGCTTTGAACTTGGCACGAAGCAATCTGTAAGCCGACGAGGGCAAAGATGGAATATCTTCCCAATTGCAGTCTGGATTCTGTATTACATACCTATTCATGCGTATACACACAACAATCATGAGCAAAAAAAACTTGTTCATCATCTGAAGAAACTAAAACAAGAGTGGAAACTAACTTCCAAATAAGAGGGATGAAGCGATTGTTGATTCCTGCTTTGTCGAATTCTCCCCTGATCACTGAAGAATCGAATACTGATTTCAACGCCATTGAACCTTCACTTCACTTCACTTTTTCTTGCCCTAAATAGGGCAACGACGACCGCTGTTCAAACGGCGACGTTTGCAATGTGTGGTTTTGCGAAATTGAATTTGGGAAAAGGTCAATTTTTTCCTTGTAAAACTTGCAAATGGTTTATTTTTTCACTTTATTTAAACTTGGGGTCAATTATACCCTTGCATGTAAGGGAGGGGAAAGATCATTTAATTTAAAGATTAGTCTAGTCGAAAGAAATATTATTGATTTATTAGTATTAGATTATTGGATTAATAGTTTTCAAATGATTTGTTAGAAATTTTATTGGGTTATTAGCATTAGTTTACTGGATTAGCAGTTTTCAAATGATTTTGTTAGAAAGTTTAATGGGTTATAAATTTTATAATTTTAGTTAATGGTTTAAATCTATAACTCCCATACAATTATATTAAAATTATTATTTTATTCCCAATTATATAACAAAATGTCTTTAGTATTTTATCAACCTTACTTTCTAAATTTTAGCATTCTTTAGTAGTAGGCAACACAAACTAGCCTCTTTATTGCGACACTTTCTCTCTTTTCAGTTTTAAATTTATTAGGAAATATGCATTTTGACCCATTAAGTAATAAGACCATTTTTAGACGAAAATGACCAAATTGGTCCTTATTTTCTTTAACAAAATTTATTATTTTCTCTTGCTTTAAACATTAATGGTATTAGATCAGTGAAATTATATTTTAAGAAAGAGAAAATAGTAAATTTTGTTGGAGAAAGAAGAGAAAATGGTGTAAGAATTTATGAATTTTTTCTTTGGAACTAACAAAAAAGACAACAACAATGGATCTTGTTAGTCACGTAGAGTCCAAGTAAAATTTAACATTTTAAAAAAATGTTAGTTTAAGATAAATGACCAAATTAAACACATTTTGTTATACATTAAGAACAATTTTAATAAATGAACACTTTTATTATATAATAAAGATCATTTCAATCAAATAAAATACATCAAGAACTAAAATAAATCATTACACATACATTAAAGACCATTTTTGTCATTTTCTCACATTATTGACAATGGACTAGTATGACCAGGGACAGTGAGGTGCCTTTCCTACTTTTATGTTCTAGTCCTGTCTACTTTGGTGAAGAATTTTGTGTCATAGGCGGTGATGTTGGTGCATTTGACTTCTTTATAGACGAAGCCCTTATTGGATTAATATCCATCAACTTTTTATACTGTATTATTCACCTCCTATTTCTAGTGCTTGTCATTTGTTTTTAGTTCAATAGGATCAAAATATACTACATTTTGTGGTTGTGACACGACAACATGATGTTCATGTTTATGAACTAGACTTTGGAGGAAACATAAGAGTCAGAATAGGAAAAGAAGTCAAAAATTGACTCTCTTTTTTCACTTGCAAAGCCTCATATGTTGTTGTTTGTGGCATGAACATAAATGTGGATGATGAAGTTTTCTTTCCCAGTTTCAACATTTGTAACGACTATACTTACTATTCTGGGAAGATATCGCATTCAAAGTATTGAAAGATAATTGTATGGATAAAATGCAACAAAAAGAGCTTTTAAATCATGTTTGAATCTGTTATAAACGGGCAGAAAATTGATCTCTACTCTCTCTTAACAATTTGTTGTGTTTTCTTTCTTTTTTGTTGTAGTGAATAAGTTAGTCTTAGAGCCTGTTCGGCATTGTTGTTGGGAGGTCAGAAGCTGCTTCTTTTTTTTTTTTTAGAAAATAACACTTATTTTTCAAAATAAGTGTTTGGCAAATTCTTAAAACTGTTTTTAAATGGAAGCAAAAGCAGTTTTTCTGCTGTTAAAAAAAGATAAAAAAATAATGAAATATATTTTATGTTTATGAGAAAAATATATCCAAACATAAATTATATTCTAAATATTCATGGTAAAAACAAGTCAAAACATAATTTCGTCTTCAAATCGGACTTCCTTGATATTTGAAAAAATGGAAATTTATTTCCACAGAGTAACATTTACTATTTAAAAATGAAGTAAAAAAGTACTATAAATCATAACAATTAATAACTTGAAATATGAGAACCTCAAAGTCTCACGTGGTCACTCAACTAATACTTATTTTCACATAAAATCACCTAACTTTCATTTATAATCTCAAAGTCACTTAACTATGTATTTTTTTCATAAAAAGTTACTCAATTAATAGTTTTTTTCACAGAAAGTCACTCAACTTTCTATTATAGCCTCAAAGTCACTCAACTATTGACATTTCATTTAGAAAGTAACCCAATTTATTTAAATATTTTTTTCATTAAATTTTATTGAAATACAATTTTGTTAACAAAATAATAAGATGCTAATTTTAATTATTTTATTAAATTTATTGAAACATAATTTAATTAAAAACTAATTTCTTAAAAAATAATAAAATTCTCATTTTCATTATTTTATAAAATTTATTGAAATACTAATTTTGTTTTAAACCAATTTCTTAACATATAGTAAAATACTCATTTTAATATATTATTTAATTTTGTTGAAAGACAAATTTATTATAAACGATTTTTTTATTATAAATAATGGCGTGCTGCCATGCACCAGCACTATTAACGGCGGATGCAATGCGTCATTTTCGATTTAAAAATATCCTACTGTGTAAATCTTATTATTTTTGTATTAGAATCACAATAGTTATTGTTTCTTAAAAAAATTAGGCTAAAATAAAAAATTTAGTTCAACAAAATTTAATAACATAATTAAAATGAATATTTATTATTTTAAAAAATAATTTAAAACAGCATAGTATTTCAAAAAAAATTAATAAAATAATTAAATGGACATTTTATTATTTTTTACAAAAAAAATAATTAAAACAAAAATTGTATTTCAACAAAATTTAATGAAAAAATATTTAAACTGGTTGGGTAACTTTCTAAATGAAATATCGATAGTTGGGTGACTCTGTAGGTAAAATATTCATAGTTGAGTGATTTTGATGTTACAAAAGAAAGTTGAATGACTTTATGTGAAATCACAAAAATATTCATAGTTAAGTGACGTACTGTGAAAAAAATTCATAGTTGAGTTATTATGAGGCTATAAATGAAAGTTGAGTAATTTTATGTGAAAAGAAGTATTGGTTGAGTGTTCACCTGAAATATTATTAACTCATAAATCCCAATATTTAACAACTTAAATATATAAAATTATATTAAAATTTGATTAACTCTCCAAATTTCATCTTGTGTCACATAAATTAAAACAAAAAGAATAACCACGGGACTGGTGTCTAGTAGCACGAAGAACACTCGAGCATAATATTGCAATATCCTAATCCAAGAAGAATAAGCAAAATATTTTGCCCCAAAAAAGAAGGTAATTTGAAAACAAGCTTATCAATTCTGTGACATAACTTAACCCCTCGTTATATGATTACAATACAATAATACTCTGCCCTGAGATAGATTGACAAAATAAGCTGTAACAATTTTCAACATCACATTTTGTCCTTATTCATCCATTAATCTAACAAGAAAATAAAACATAAAAAGCAGTTAGTTAAATACGAGCTGGAATTGTACGTTTGAAACCAACAACTGGTGTGTTCACAAACTCTCCAAATATTAAATCTTCCTCCAATGCTTGTATCGTCTCTGAAGAAAGGCAAATCTCAAGAATTATGCTCCCTTCTTCTAGTCCAGGTGACACTGTTATTTTCCCCTCTAACATGTTTCCAATGCCACTTCTATGCGCAATTGGCTTTCCCCACCCAAAATCATACTTGTAAAAATTGAATCGCGGAGAGTTGTGCAACATAAAGTAATTGCCTGGCAAATCCCCCCATTTTGTTATCTCTGGGTTCTTCATCCAATTCTCGTATATGCACTTCAATTTTTCATTGTCATGGGAAGCAATCATCTCTTAATTTGTAAAGCAGCCCATCCAAATCCGTACTTGACCAGCTCCCTCGTCTTGATCGTTGTGGTAGCAGGGTAAATTGCATTCCCAAAAAACCCTTCAGGTAATGGAGGATTCAGTCTTTCCCTCATGTTAATGGATACCTCGAAAGTAGTTGTCTCGTGGCTATGATCGAGACGACGACAACGTATCACTGAACACCAAACATGAGCCAACACAGCTTGAAGAGAAGAAATCTTGGTGGTGTTCATTTCAAGATTGGCCTTTGCTTTTAGCTTGGACACATTTTCTTTGCTAAAATGAAATACCCTTTCTCGCAGCATTTGTACTGCTGGTGGAATGAATTTATCACCTGAATTGATTCTTTCATTCGGTATAGAGATACGATTAGAGTAGAAATGATCAATTTTGAAAGGGAATTCACGTTTCAAAGTTGTAATTTTTGAGATGATATTAGAACCGCGAGATAACTCAGCCCAAGAATTGTAAAAATTCCAAAAAGAAGTTCCGTCTACTACCACGTGATTGTTTGTGCAGCCAATGAATATGCCATCCACAAGCTCTGTTACTTGCACAGCCAAACAAGGCTGGGAGGTAGCCTCTTGGTTTTGTACTCCATTCAATGAGAAAAAATCACGAACTGTTAAATTAGGTCTTAGGCCTAACTCACACCCCAAAAGCTAGCTCAAAGGGAGGAGGATTGCCCAAGCCTTAAGGAGTTCACACATCTCATTAACCACCGATGTGGGACTTTTGTCATTCTTTAACACCCCACCTCACGCCCAGTGCTTAGCATCTGATGCGTGGGCAATTTTGATTTTTGGGGGTCCCAACATCAGGTGAGACGGGCCCTGCTCTGATACCATGTTAAATTAGGTCTTAGGCCTAACTCACACCCCAAAAGCTAGCTCAAAGGGAGGAGGATTGCCCAAGCCTTAAGGAGTTCACACATCTCATTAACCACCGATGTGGACTTTTGTCATTCTTTAACAACACATGAGGAACGAAATTTGATTCCATTATTTCGTGAATAGTAACACCATCAGCTATTGCATGGTTGAATTGAACACCAGCATTGTTACAATTAATGAAGAAAGAAGTGGTTCCACTATGCTCTGTGGTCGCCTCAAGACGGCCACAAAATGGAGGGTAGAAATCTAAAGTTCGAGATAGTGAAGCTCTAAGATGATCAATTAAGGAAGTAGTATGAGTTGATTTTGAGACATCTCTTACTTGTTGAGATGTAGGCATGTGATAGAGGAGTCCACTTTGAGCATAGTCAATTTGAAGCTCAAGAATGTCCCATGGTGACAACTCAATAATCTTACAATTATCTGGATGTTGCTGATTCCCTCCAGCAGCTTTAACTGTCCATGTTGAAATGATGGATACCTTGGAGGCCATAGCTTTGATCTCCAAATTGAGTGAAGAAGAAGATCCAAGAAATGAGTTTGGAGAAAATAAATCCAATCAGAATGAGATCTACAGATGTTGACTTATTTAATTTCTTATTAGATCTAGGGTTTTCAGCAAGAGTTGTAGTAAATGATAGAGTGAGGGAGTATGATTTACATAGAGATTAATAAAGCATGTGATGCGATATGATGAATACTCCTCACTCCGTTCACTTTTAGTTGTTGTGTTGCGCTTTTCGAAAATCAATTTGATTAATTTTAAAAGTTAAATTAGATTACATTAATTCGATATTTCAAACAAAAAATTCAGATATTCAAAAATTATACTAAAAGAACTATAAATTGCAATTTTTTGCATATCAATATGATTAAAAATACATCGTAAAATATTACTCAAAATTCTTACCGTTTGACTCTAATAAAAAGAAACTATGACAACTAAAAGTGGGCGGAGGAAGTAATATTTTCCCCCAAAGGATAATACAATTTGAAAACAATGTAGCTTCATAATTAAAAAAAGAAAAAGCTAGTCAAACACAAGCAGTAGCCCTGAAACACAACTTAACAGAGAAGAAACAATGACAACTAAAATTAGACGGAGTAAGTAATATTTTTCCCCAAAGGATAATACAATTTGAAAACAATGTAGCTTCATAATTAAAAAAGAAAAAGCTAGTCAAACACAAGCAGTAGCCCTGAAACACAACTTAACAGAGATTCATAAATGAAGAAGCTTGTAGCAAAATTAGACACCACGGGCCTGTTTGAAAAGACATCTTGGTAATTGGATTTGGTGTAATTACACTGTCTGTCCTGTTTGCAGTGGCGGATGTAGAGTGTGTCCAGGGGGGTCATCCGACCCCCCTCGGAAAAAAAATTACACTATATATATAAGATCAATTTTTTTGTGTATGTGTATATATTTAAAATTGAACCCCCTGAGCATATGTCAAAGGAGTAGCTCAATGGTTTATGGGGTTCAGGATTTCTCCTATGTGAGCTTTGGGTCACAGGTTCGATTCCAGGCAACAACATTTTTTTTATTTGAACCCCCTTGATAGAATTCCTGCCTCCGCCACTGCCTGTTTGGTTGGACAAGTAATTTTTTTATTTTTTTATTTGAACCCCCTTGATAGAATTCCTGCCTCCGCCACAGCCTGTTTGGTTGGACAGGTAATTACTTGGTCAGCAGGTAATTGGTGTAATTGACAGAGGGTAATTACACTCTCCAATTCACAGCTAGAGGCTGTGAATTGCTGGTAATTACATGGTGTAATCAGTGTTTTGGACGGCGAAAGGCGACAAGGGCCTGCCTCGCCACGATTGTGATATTTTCTGTGCAATTTAAGGTTTTAGATGTATTCTCACTTCTCTTTGATATCCGTTAAACTGTGTAAGTTCACTCTTTTAATTTATTTTCAGGTAATAAAGAAGTTTCAACCTGAAAGAACCTACTTTTGTTGAGAGATTCCAGAATTCACAACCTCCCAGATTCAACTTTCACGCCAAGGCAACATATATGTAATTACCTACAATGCCTCTGATTTGACCTTTTCTGGAAAGCTCCATGTATATCATTCCGTAAAATACATGTAAATGTGTCACATTGATATTTATTGTAATCATGTGTGCACGACTTAACGCTCGAGTTTCATCACTCCGATCGTAAGGTTTCAAGGTTTTATCAGGTCGAATAAGGGGAGGACTCTCTGTAAGCCACAAGAAAATTAAGGTTAATCCTTTATATCTATATATGCAAGAACTACTTCAATAAATTTTGTTATTTCATCATTTCCAACAAAAGAGAATTCAATTTCTTACTTGCTGATTCTTCCTTCTGGTTCATTTTGATTGCTTAGGCGTGGAATGAACACATATATATATATATATATATAGGTTATCAAGTTGTGGAATTACACAGTATATTGTTATTGACGGGTGTACAAGTTAAAAAGTGTAAGGTGGGAGCTTTTTCTAAGAATAATAGAAGCAAACTTCCCCCTATGATTTCATGGCAGCTATTTTTGTTCATTCCTTTACTATTAGATTTCTCTGATATGAAATGAACCGTATTGAAAAAACAAACACAATGAGTGATAATGAAGTATGTGCTGGAGGTGAATCGCAAACGAAGAGTTGAAATCCTAGAATAGTACCTTGGGATGAAGACTGCTCAGGATCTTCTGGAGTTCCAAGTGCAACAAATAAAGGAGCCATAAGCAAAACAGGTTCATGGAATTCAACAGCTTCTCGATTGACGCAGTTCATATACAGAAGACACTGACTGCTCCATGAAAATCAAAAAGTGTTTTTGATTAGCTTCTGAATCTCTTAGTATGATTTATTTTTTCAAATGTGTGGTTTGATGTTTAATAATGTGATACTTCTGAATCGTGTTTTGACTGCTACGTTGTATCTCAATCTAGATTCAAATTGTGTGGTGGCTTGATGAGTTTAGTTCTTATCTGTTAATGATGTGTTCAAAACTTATTTCGAGGGGTGATTAATATTTTTATATTCGTCAAAATTGTTTCTGAAATTCATGCAAAATTATCGCACCAGATCATTTATATGGAGAAGCTTCTTTCAACCGTAAAATTTCATCAATATATTCAAAAATGTTGGGCCCGTGCCCCAAATATTTTATCTTTTTCCAATGCTTGTATTGTCTATGAAGAAATGCAAATTTCAAGAATCATGCTCCATTCTTCTAGTCCAGGTGACACTGTTATTTTCCCATCTAACATGTTTCCAACGCCACTTCTATGCGTAATCAGCTTCCCCCACCCAAAATCATACTTGTAAAAATTGAATCGGGGAGAGTTGTTCAGCATAAAGCAATTGCTTGGCAACTCATCCAATATTGTTACCTCAGGGTCGTTCATCCAATTCTTGTATATGTACTTCAACTTTTCATGATCATGGGAAGCAAATAGCAATTGAATCATTAAATTAAATTAAATTAAAGAAGACTCATATCTTACTCAGATCTTTAAGGATACTAATTAAGTTGTCTCGACACATATCATGCATAAAAGGTTCTAAATTATCCAATTGTCCAGTTTTTTGATATACTATATACTATACAAGTATGAGATGGATGGTTCTTTTTTCAAATTCAAATTGTAGTATTGAAAGTCTAATAACCCTTCAACTAATACACATATTCATGTAGCAATGGTAATAAGATTAAGAACAAGGGGAGCTTGAGAAAATATGAGCACATTAATTGTTCTGCCCTTTGTACTTTTTATTTATAGACTTTGTACATGTTTATGATTAACATAAGAATCCTTATCGACTACGTATTATAAAGGAAGAGTAATCCTTTTGTTATAATGAATAAGCTACAATAATCGAATTCTAGTTGATGATGGACTCTAATAGCCCCCTTCAAGATCATGTTCTGGAGCGAACCATGAGCTTAGATCGAAGATTGAGGAACCGACTTGTGCCAACAGCTTTGGTAAAGATATCTGCAATCTGATTTTGAGATGAAACATAGCAAACCACTAAAGATTGATCTTCAACCATCTCTCGGATAAAGTGATAATCAAAACGAATATGTTTTGATCGTTGATGGATGACAGGATTCCGAGATAAGAATTGTGCACTAAGATTGAGGTGTAGTGAGATGAGCATGCAGTTCACTGATAAGTTGTTGGACCCAGCTTAATTCAGTAGTTGCAAAGGCTAAAGCACGATACTCAGCTTCAGTACTTGAGCGGGTGACAACCTTTTGTTTCCGCGAAGACCAACTGATTAAGTTACCTCCATAGAATAGTGCAAAGCCATGTTGGGAGCGACTATCATCAAGATCAGAGATCCAACCAGCATCCGAAAAGGCCACAAGACTAGAATCAGACATAGGTCGTAGTAAGAGGCCATCATGAATTGATCATTTTAGATATCGAAGTATGCGTTTGACAGTTGACCAATGAGCAATAGTGGGTGATTGCATAAATTGGCATACTCGATTGATTGCGTATGATATTTCTGGCCTAGTGATGGTAACATATTGAAAAGCACCAACGACACTACGATATAAATGAGCATCAGGAAGAGGATCACCAGAAAGAATAAGTCGCTATCCAGGTTCAGTTAGACTAGAAATAGGCTTAGCATCAGCCATGTTTGTTCGACAAAGTAAGTCACGAATATACCTGCTTTGAGATAAAATGATCCCATTTGATGATGGAGAGACTTCAATACCAAGAAAATAATTTAAAGAACCAAGATCTTTGAGAGAGAATTGCTGATCAAGAATGTAAATAAATGTAGTGATGAAATCACTATCACTACCAGTTATAATGAGGTCATCCACATAGACAAGAACATATGTTGTATGCTTAGAAGCTTGCTGCACAAAAAGAGAAGAGTCGGATAAACAAGAGCGAAAGCCAATGCCAAGGAGAAAAGCCTTTAACTTATTGATCCAAGCATGTGGTGCTTGTTTGAAGCCATATAAGGCCTTGTTCAATTTGCATACGAAATGTGACCGATGAGGATCAACGAATCCTTTCGGTTACTCCATAAACACTTGCTCAGAGAGATCACCATTTAAGAACACATTGTTGATGTCAAGTTGCTGAACATACCACTTGTTTGTCATAGCCAAAGACAAGATTAGTCGAACAGTTGTGGGCTTAACGACGGGACTGAAAGTATCAAAGTAATCAACACCCTCATCTTGGTGAAAACCTTTAGCTTCAAGACGAGCTTTGTGACATTCAATTGATCCATCGACTTTGCTCTTAATCCTGTAGCCTCATTTACAACCAACAATGTTAGAGTTAGATGGTGGTGGAACTAATGTCCATGTCTTAGGTCACATGATGTATAGCACCCGAATCAAAGTACCAGGCCGCATGATTAACAATAGCTGAAGGAGAAGCAAGATGTGCTTGCTTGGGAATTGATCGTGACAGTGTTTGCCTTGTTGGTGGAAAATCTTTTTCATTAGAGCGATTATAGCAATTTCGAGCATCATGATTATTTTTACCACATATTTGACATTGCATGCATCGTTTGGACTGACGATTATTGGATCGAGAGGAAAGGGAATATTGTTGAGGTACCATAGATTGAGCATGATTATGAGAATTATGAGCAAGGTAATTAGAGAGTGGGGGAGGGCCAAGAATGGATGATTGGTTTATGTTAAGGGGTGGAGCGGGGTGAAGAAAGGATGAATTGTGTGTTAACAGTGCATGAGAAGGAGCAACGCTATTAATAGTGGTAGAACGAAGTTCTTCGGCTAAGCGTTCTTCTTCTTGAAGAAGAAGGCCAAACAGTTCTTCAGGAGTGATAGTACCAGAACGCATATTAAGCGCAGCCTTGAAAATTCCAAACGAAGAATCAAGTCCATTAAGAATGAATGAGATGAAGTCATCATCCTGTACAAAGTACAAGCTTTCTGCTAGAGAATGGACAATTGCGCGTTTCTTCTCAAAGTACTCTAGGATGGAGAAATTGCCTTTAGAAAGATTTTGAAGTTGAGATTTTAATTGCATGACTCAAGCACGCGTTTGTGATTGAAACATCCGCTCAATTTTGGTCCAAGCATCATAGGAAGAGGAGGCTCGAGTTAAATGATTAAGAAGAGGATAAGAAGTTATTTGACGAAGCCAAACGAGAATAAGAAGATCGTTGCATCGCCATTCCTCATAAGCAAGGTTAGAAGTGATTTCTGGTTGTGCTTGGGTGGTAGAGGATTCTGTAGCAGTAATGATTGAAGTTGGGGTGACAGTAATAGTTTTTGGAGGAGAATTATAACCAAGAACAAAGGAGTCGAGAGAAAAGGCTTTGAGTATGTCCAAGGTATTTTCTTTCCAAAGAGAATAATTATTTCTGTCAAGTTTGAGAGAAAGGTTTGGTAGTTGAATAATGGAGGAAGCAGTGGGTTGTTTTGCAAGTGACAACAGATTTCCAGAATTTTGAGAAGTGGCCATAGGACCGATGGGAAAATCTGATACCATAATAAGATTAAGAACAAGAGGAGTTTGAGAAAATATGAGCAGATTAATTGTTCTGCCCTCTGTACTTTTTATTTATAAACTTTGTACATGTTTATGATTAATATAAGAATCCTTATCTACTAAGTATTCTAAAGTAAGAGTAATCCTTTTGTTACAATGAATAAGCTACAATAATCGAATTCTAGTTGATGATGGACTCTAATAAGTGGTGAGACTGCTCTATCTTTAATCAGATGTCTCGAGATTTGAGCCCTAGGTATGAAGAAAATTTTGTTGGGAGTGTCATCTCCGAATGAGTCTTGCATTGCGTAATTCAAATTTAGTTGGAGCTCCAATTAGGCTCGGAACACCGGGTGAACACCTAAAAAAATAAAAACTATTACACAAACAGATCATGTTTTATTACACAGACAGATCACGTTTCCTTTTAAATTTTGATCCATTCATCATAACTCTTAATGATTTTGATTTTCAAATTTTAATTGTGGTGGTAATTTGACAGTAAATTGTCAATGGCTACGGTGGCAGTGCGAAGAGATTTTTAAATTATAAAAATCATTCAATCTTTCTCTTATAAAATTAATCAACCAAGTTTATTATAAAAATTTGACATGATAAAATAAATTAATTTTTTATGTCATATACATACAAGCATTACCAATAAAATTAAATTAAAAAAGACTCATATCTTACATCGACCCACTAATCCATAATTGTAATTTTTGTGAAAGGGGAATAATTCTTTTTGGAATAAACGCAGAAAAAATAGTAAAAGAATAAGAATCGAACCGTGATAGATAATGGAAGAGAGAAAAAGAAAGAAGAAAAATCAATTAAAAAATTGCATGACTTTACTATATAGTAATTCATAGTTGAATAATTTTTTGAGATATTCACTCGTTGAATTTGACGTATCTCTTGCTTGTTGGGATGTAGGAAAAGTTAATTTGGGAACTAGTTGATCTCTTAGAAGGATGCAAAACTATTAAAACCAAATGGGTTCTTAAAGTTAAAGCACAAGGCTAATGCCATGATTGAGATATATAAGGCTCGATTAGTTGATAAGGAGTATATACAACAAAAATGAATTGACTACGATGAGACTTGGTTAAACAAAAAGTAAAAACACCCAATCTAATATAGAAAGAAAGCACATGTAAAAACCCAAAACAACTAAACCAAGCACCATCCAAACAAACAATTGTTGTATTATTGTTTGTTTAGGGTACAACAATTATCACTGTACATGGACCGTGATATGCTGGTCATTAATTTATGCTTGCTTATGATAAATTATATTTTTATGCGAAATAAATTCAAATTTTCGCATCACATTTATCCAAAAAATATGCTCGGACTTGACCTTAATTTAATAAAGAAATTTTGTTCCACTAGGCATAAATTTGATTTTTAAAAGACAAAAATTAAAGACCAATCCATTTAAAGAGTAAAACGCGCAATTTATTCGAAAATTGTAGATTTCCAATGCCTGAAAAATTCGATGCAATGATGTATTTTTTTCAACACATATATATCTCTGTCCTGAGATGGAAGAATCCTGCAACATATTTTAACATCATATTTTTTCTCATTATACATGCATACAATCTAACAGCAATAAATACCATAAGAAGCATTTAAATTCGAGCTCGAATTGTACGTTCCAAACCAACAACTAGTGTGGTCACAAACTCACCAAATATTACATCTTCCTCCAATGCTTGTATCGTCTCTGAAGAAAGGCAAATCTCAAGAATCATACTCCCTTCTTCTTGTCCAGGTGACACTGTTATTTTCCCCTCTAACATGTTTCCAATGCCACTTCTATGCGTAATCGGCTTTCCCCATCCAAAATCGTACTTGTAAAAATCGAATCGGGGAGAGTTGTTCAGCATAAAGTAATTGCTTGGCAAGTCACCCAATTTTACTACCTCAGGGTCATTCATCCAACTCTCGTATATGCACTTCAACTTTTCATGGTCATGGGAAGCAATCGTCTCATTAATTTGTAAAGCAGCCCATCCGAATTTGTGCTCAAGTAGCTCTCCCGTCTTGATGGTCACGGTAGCAGGGCAAATTGCATTGCCAAAGAACCCTTCGGGTAAAGGAGGATTCAATCTTTCCCTCATGTCAATGGATACCTCAAAGGTAGTTTCTTCACTAAGATCAAGACGACGACAACGTATTACAGATCTCCATACGTGAGCCAATACAGCTTGAAGAGACGAAATTTTGGTGGTGCTCATTTCAAGATTGGCCTTTGCTTTTAACTTGGCTACACTTTCTTTGGCAAAATGAAATACCCTTTCTCGTAGCATTGGTGGTGGAATGAATCTATGACCTGCATTAACTCTTTCATTTGGTATAGAAATGCGATCAGAGAAATGATTAATATTGAAAGGGAATTGACGTTTCAAAAAAGGAAGTTTTGAGATGACATTAAAACCGCGAGATATCTCAGTCCAAGAATTGTAAAAATGCCAAAAAGAAGTTCCGTCCACTACCACATGATTGTTTGAGCAGCCAATGAATACGCCATCCTCTAGCTCTGTTACTTGCACTGCAAAACAGGGCTGGGAGGTAGCCTCTAGATTTTGGACTCCATTTAATGGGAAGAAATCACGTACCACGTAAGGATTGTAATCTGACTCCACGATGTCACTGACTCTAATACCATGTGCGGTTGCATGGTTGAGTTGAGCACCATCATTGTTACAATTTATGAAGAAAGAAGTGGTGCCATTTTGCTCGTCTTTGGTTGTGTCAAGGCGGCCACAGAATGGAGGGAAGAAATCTAAAGCTCGAGATAGTGAAACTCTAAGATGATCAATTAAGGAACTGGTGTTGGTTGCTTTTGATATATCTCTTAATTGTTCAAATGCAGGCATAAGGAAGAGAAGTCCAGTTTGAAAGTAGTCAATTTGAAGCTCAAGAATGTCCCATGGTGTCAACTCAATAATCTTACAATTATCTGTATGGTGCTGACTTCTTCCAGCAGCTTTAACCGTCCATGTTGAAATGATGGATACCTTGGAAGCCATAGCTTTGAATTACCTTCAAAATGAAAGTGACAATATTTAAAAAAAGGATTAAGGATGATAGAAATTATGATTAAAGATTTATTGATCGAGGAGATGGTATTAGCCAACTGACGTAATGTTTGCCTATCCATGTTATTTTCACCATTATATCACACAATTTAAGCACCCGTACACGACCTAATGTTTGTCTACCCATGTTATCAGGCTGTCAGACTCAATTTCAATTCTTCAATTTATCTTACGAAATTTGACATAAAAAGTTGTACACCAAAAATAAAAAAACTCTGTATTTAGGCAAACTGTCGTATGAGTAAAACCTAAATCAGACTAATTACAACTTCACAATTATTTGAATCTGTCAAGAGATGTAACCTCATTCAGAAATCTGAATGATCCAGAGTAAAGGAATAAATAATTCAAAGAAATTTCAAAGCAAAATGAAAGAAATGCAAAATTAGTATTGATGAGGCAATAAATAGAAGAAAGATATGATTAGACCTCTGTATTGGGTAAATCTGTAGTTAAAGCAGTGTGCTCAGCGATTGAACAGCTTATTAAACTGAAAAGTTGCCGGCAACTGGACCTGAACTGGAAACCTCGCCGGCAGTTAAGAATGGGTTACTGTTTGTGATAGAGCAATGGAATTACTATTGGGCGTACTGCTCTTAAGTTGGCAGCTGCTGGTAATTTAACCCCGGCACGTTTTATGCGTGTTCGGTACAAATGTAGATGTCTCCCAAGTAGTGCCGGCAAAATGAGCCCATATTTTGGTAATTCGTTCAATTCGTCTATATTTTAATAGGTTAAGTGAATGACTTTTTACATGAATAAAATATAGGTTGATATTCATATTCAACCCATAAAAATATGGGTAATATATGAATTAGCCAAATAAGTTAAACTTCTAACTTTTATTCACTCAAAATTCATGATATCACAAAAAAAAATATTGTAACTTCGCTTCCTTTTTATGTTCTTCTATAGAATTAATTATTCTTCTCGATAATTAAAAATTTGAAGTCTTTGGCCCTCCAAAAATATATATTGTAAATCTACATTTCTTTTGTTAATTATAATTATATTTTTTTATTTGTTTAATTTTATATTGGATAGTAAATAATAGTGTAAAATAAGCAAATCATGTATTAGTATTGACATTGCTTAATGTGCATTAAGCATGTTTTAGTCTTAAAATGCAACTATTCATTTACTTTGAAATTAAACATATTTTCCCCTTGTTATTACGTAAATTTATTTTACATTGAAAAGTTATGACTTTTTTTACTTCTATGATACAATAAAACTAAATGAAGCATTTTCAACATTTTTCATCTAAAAAAAGACTAAAATATTTTCTCCAAGTTGAATTCTTAAGTAGAGTACTATTTAATCATGAAAATATGGGTAAATATGGGCAAACTAGTATTTTACCTAACTCATTTGTTATCCAATCAATTTTTACCCATATCAATATGGACGGGTTGAATTATTACCCATTTTATGTTAACTCAATTTCAACCCGCTCAAATTTAACCCTACCCTCCCATTTGCCATCACTACTCCCGAAGAAAATAAATAATTTTTTAAATTTCTTTCTATTTGGTACGTAAGTAAAATATTATATATATATATATTTGACAAATACTAGTGGTAGGGGTAATGATAGGAGTGTGACTGGTGGGGAAGGGCTACAGAGTGGGGGTTAAGATGGTGGGATGAGAGAAAATATTACTTGTAAAATTTATTTTTTTTAAGAGAAGTATTATAAACATATTTATATTATAGTGAATGTGTGAAGTCCTTTGGAGAAAAGTTAGGAATCTTACTTGAGATCAAGTCAGGTTTCTCCTATAAATAAAATATATTTTTTTATTGTAAATCAGATCTATGAATCTGAATATCCCTTCAAGAGGAATAAGAAGTCTTCTCTCTTTCTCCCTTTTTTATTCTTCTTTCTTATTTTATTATATAGTTTTATAACAAGAACTCATTTTTTACTTTTAAAGCAGCTTATTTTCATAATCAGAATATATTTTTAAAAAAATTCTTTGCCCAATCGAATAAAAAAAAGTTAGAACGAAAAATATTTTACGCCACTGGGAACACAGCCTGATCAGTGTATGCTTTGTCCGTGGCTTTTAATGAAATCTCCAAGACACGTGTCTATTTTACGAGCAATATATCCACATACATACTAACCGTTCTGGTAAAATAGTGGACGCGTGCTTATTTAGCGTGTGATTGTTGAAAAAAATACTGTTGCAAGTAGAATTATTTAATTGTGTAGATATTGGCAACTCATTAATAGCTAAAATTAAACATGATTTCTATAGAGATTAATAAAACATGTGATGCAATAATAAGCAAATATTTTGACCTAAAAGATAGTACTAACTTTGAAAACCATGTAGCGCAGCTTCTCAATTCTCAAATACAATCAGCATCCCTGAGAGACAATTTAACACCTCTATGGTGTATTATTTCAATTGATAAAGATACTTAGCTTATATAGACACTACATTTTCTCTGCAATCTAACAAGAAAATAAAACATAAAAAGCAGTTAAATACGAACTCGAATTGTTCGTTCCACACCAACAATTGGTGTAGTGTTCACAAACTCCCCAAATATTATGTCTTCCTCCAATGCTTGTATTGTCTCTGAAGAAAGGCAAATTTCAAGAATCATACTCCCTTCTTCTAGCCCAGGTGACACTGTTATTTTCCCATCTAACATGTTTCCCACCCCACTTCTATGTGCAATAGGCTGTCCCCAACCAAAATCATATTTATAAAAATCGAATTGCGGAGAGCCGTTCAGCATAAAGTAATTGCTTGGCAAATCGCCCAATTTTGGTACCTCAGGGTCGTTCATCCAATTCTCGTACATGCACTTCAACTTTTCATGGTCATGGGAAGCAATCGTCTTATTAATTTGTAAAGCAGCCCATCCAAATCCGTGCTCGAGCAGCTCTCCCGTCTTGATAGTTGTGGGTGCAGGGTAAATTGCATTCCCAAAGAACCCTTCAGGCAATGGAGGATTCAATCTTTTCCTCCTCATGTCAATGGATACCTCAAAAGTAGTTTCTTCGCTGTGATCAAGACGACGACAGCGTATCACAGATAGCCAAACGTGACTCACTACAGCTTGAAGAGAAGAAATCTTGCTGGTGTTCATTTCATGATTGGCCTTTGCTTTTAGCTTGGACACATTTTCTTTGCTAAAGTGAAATACCTTTTCTCGCAGCATTTGTAGTGCTGGTGGAATGAATTTATCATCTGAATTGATTCTTTCATTCGGTATAGATATGCGATCAGAGAAATGGTCAATTTCGAAAGGAAATTCACGCTTCAAATAGGGAATTTTTGAGATGACATTAAAACCACAAGATATCTCAGCCCAAGAATTGTAAAAATGCCAAAAGGATGTTCCATCAACTAATGCGTGATTGTTTGCGCAGCCAATGAAAATGCCATCCACAAGCTCTGTTACTTGCACAGCTAAAAATGGTTGGGAGGTAGCCTCTGTGTTTTGGACTCCACTTAGTGGGAAAAAATCGTGTACCACATGAGGAACCAAATTTGATTCCATAATGTCGCCAACTGTAACACCATCAGCTATCGCATGGTTGAATTGCACACCGACATTGTTACAGTTAACGAAGAAAGAAGTGGTTCCACTCTTCTCTTCTGGGGCTGCCTCAAGGCGGCCGCAGAATGGAGGGAAGAAATCTAAAAGTTCGAGATAGTGATACTCTAAGATGATCAATTAATGAACTAGTATTAGTTGTTTTTGATAAATCTCTTACTTGTTCAAATGTAGGCATGAGGAAGAGGAGTCCAATTTGAAAGTATTCACTTTGAAGCTAATAAATGTCCCATGGTGTCAACTCAATAATTTTACAATTATCTGGATGGTGCTGACTTCTTCCAGCAGCTTTAACTGTGCATGTTGAAATGATGGATACCTTGGAGGCCATAGCTTGGATCTTCAAATTTAGTGAGGAAGAAGGTACTTACTAAATTTATTACTAAAGCTCTCAGGGTGTCATAAATCTATGAATCGGGATTAATTTGTACTCGTTTCATCCAACAATACTTGTCCACTATACTAAAAATAAATATTCAATAATGCTTGTTCACTTTATAAAATTTATGGATAATTTTACACTTAATTCCTAATTTATCCTTATCATTAATTATAGTCACTTTTCTATTATATTTTTCAAGACATTATATTTATTATATTTAAAGGGTAATATAATAAAATTACCCTTCTATTTATAATTTTTTAAGATATGTGTCAAGTCAATAGTGTACAACTATTGTTGGACAAGGGGAGGGAGTACTACATGACAATAAATCAGTCACCTTGAGATCTACAGTTCGTTGATTTATTTAAATTCTTATCACCTTGAGATCTACTAATGTTGACTTATTTAAATGAGATATGCAATTACAATAATGTATTTATTTTTTAAAAATGCAATAATCAATAATGTGCCGAATTGATAGTTACTAGTCACCCAAATTATAATAATCTGATCCAGCAGCGTCCAGTTTAAAAATCTAAAACTGGTAATAATCTAACGGGTCAATTGATAGAGTGTATTAAAAATAATGTTAAATATATTGTATTAGTAATATTTGTATTAGTTATATATAGATTATTTCTACTGTATTGTTTGATTTGGTGTATTAAAAATAATATGTATTGTATACAAATATTCATTTACAAAAATATTCTCAACAATTATGGTGAACAAAATATAAAAGGAATTTTAAGGGGTAATAGTTGTTAGGGTTTTGTCTTGATTTTCTTGTCTTATTTGAAATTTATTTTTTCCTAAAAGAAAAGACAAAACATCACCATAAATGTTTTTACTTTTCATGAAAGGAAAATAAAATTACCCTTCTATTTATAATTTTTTAAGATATGTGTCAAGTCAATAGTGTACAACTATTGTTGGACAAGGGGAGGGAGTACTACATGACAATAAATCAGTCACCTTGAGATCTACAATACGTTGATTTATTTAAATTCTTATCACCTTGAGATCTACTAATGTTGACTTATTTAATTGAGATATGCAATTACAATAATGTATTTATTTTTTTAAAATGCAATAATCAATAATGTGCCGAATTGATAGTTAATAGTCGCCCAAATTATAATAATCTGATCCAGCAGCGTCCAGTTTAAAAATCTAAAACTGGTAATAATCTAACGGGTCAATTGATATAGTGTATTAAAAATAATGTTAAATATATTGTATTAGCAATATTTGTATTAGTTATATATAGATTATTTCTACTGTATTGTTTGATTTGGTGTATTAAAAATAATATGTATTGTACACAAATATTCATTAACAAAAATATTCTCAATAATTATGGTGAACAAAATGTAAAAGGAATTTTGAGAGGTAATAGTTGTTAGGGTTTTGTCTTGATTTTCTTGCCTTATTTGAAATTTATTTTTTCCTAAAAGAAAAGATAAAACATTACCATAAATATTTTTACTTTTCATGAAATATTTATATTTTTGGCTTAAGTCATCAGCGGCCGCTTAAAGTTGTCCAC